GGGGGCGGACTCTGCTTGGTGCCATTCCCGCCGGGTGCTGCGGTCACTGTTTTTGCTTGCGCGGCAATCTCGAGTAGAGCTAGAATTAAAAGGACACTAGAAGACACGCTGCGAAGGAGCAAGCTCCTCGCCATCATCGCGCTTATTTTCTAGGGCACTGCTAAGCGAGGATCACCAGGTCTTGGATATATGAAAAGTACTCTGCATGTTTCTATGCTTGAGCAGCAGGTACTTGTAGCGCAAGAGACGGTACGTGTAGGAAGTGCGAGGGGCTGGCTCCGACGGAGATACTGTACTAGCTGTGCTGTGCTATCATCGGTTGGTAGGTGACAGCGTAGGAAGGGGATCTATCCCAAGAAGCTCAGTGTGTTATGTTCTCGTGCCGTGTGATGAGCGCATCTCGACAACAGATAGGGGCAAGGGAGGGCCACATGCTGGAAAGGGGGAACAGCAAGGCGAAAAGGCGAAAGTGTGGCAGATGTTGAGGGGTGGAGAGGCGAGTAGGGTGAGGAGGAGAGGTTGTCTGCAGGTAGAGAATGGTTCAGGGCAATGGGGAAATGGGTGAAATGTGGGCAAAATTGCTGTTACAAAAAACTACGATCCGCGAGTCCACTGTATCGAGAGCGACGCGAGCAAATCCAGAATGTGACGAAGGTGTGGAGAGAGGTGGGGGGGCTTGCTATATTCGCGCCAGGTCGAGCTTTTGTGAAAGAGCAGGTGGAGCTCGATAGTGACATGCCTCGGTTTTCCTGTGTTAGCGTGAACTACCTTCGGGTGTTTGTACGAGTACACCAAATCACCCAGCTGAACATTTCAAAGAGTAGTAAATCATTGTTACCAGCAATATATGCATGGGTGGCAGACCCCCACATTGGTTCTGAGGGACGCGAAAAAAAAAAAAAATCGTCCCAATAATTTCTGAACGTCAAATAAATTTCTGCTAAAAGTCGCAACTTTATTTATATAAGTACCATGTCTCTGAAATCCTACCCAGCTCAACCTAGGCCCATATGCCTTGCTGAAACCAGAACGCTTGCTTGAACATGCTTATTACGGAGGCCTTGATGGGTCATCATTTTTTTCAGGGTGCCTAGGGACTCATGGGGTGGTGCTCACCCCTTCATTCCCATTATGGGCCCTGCCCTCTGCCTTGCACTGAGGCCGGGGCTCCCTCTGTACACTCTAGCTTCTAGTACCTAACATTCTACGGGTAGAACCATAACTAGGGCTAAGGAGTCAGCAAATGGTGGTGACTGCTGCAGAACGAGCTGCCAGCCACACTAGCTAAGGTGACAAACGAGGCTGTCAGTGTAGTACCAACGCGATCAGTGCGACACGTTAGTATGCCACGTTAGTGAAGGTGACAGAAACGAAGTTTTGCCCAAATACAGTCAACCTCGCTACTTTCTGCGAGTACACCCTGCGGTTGATGTCCGTAGACCAAGTTGTGCGCCTCACAACGACTTTGGTAGTTCCCCCCACGTCCCGTCTAAACCCATCTAGATTAATCAGCACCTGCCTGTCTTCTGCCTTCTGATTCACGATGAAAACTGTAACCCGCTTTTCGACCGGGCTGTAGAATGCGCTCATGCCGTGCGAACAATCCGAGCGTATCTTGAGCGGCTTGGATCCAGGTTTGGCAAGCATGGTGAAATGCTTGAAAACCCAAAACCTTCTTTTCGCTTTAGGCATCACCATTTCGCCATTGTAGCTGGGTGGATAATCCGGTGGGAAGTCGATGAGTGACCAATGCGCCGCAAAATCGTACGCCTGCCAGACGTGGTACGCAGAAGCCTCCATGATATTGACGCTCTCGATAACGTTTCGCGCCATGTACAGCGAAAGGTCCCAAAAACTCCCGCTTTTCCCTAACGCTCCCGCTTCGCTAACCCAGACCTCCCTCCCCAACTGCTTCGCCGTGTCGCGCATGCTGCCGTATCTGCCTTCGTAAGTCGCAGCCACACCCTCCTTGAAGTACTGATTAACGTACGCATGAACGTTTATCCGCGTTAGTAGCTCATGATTCGCGATCTGCGGTAGCTGCGCTGTCGTGCCATCCCAGCTATCCACCCCCACCAACTTCGTTGTCAAACCCTTCGCTTGTAACGAGTCTGAAGTGTACTTTATGACTCGCCCCATCTCGGGCGGATTGAATGTACACCACTCGTGTTCTTTTCCGACCTTCCAAAAAGCTTCCAGCGCCTCGTTAAACGGCTCCAATGCGTCGAAAGTAACTCCCCACCTTTTCGCGAACGCCGCCACGACTGTCGTCAAGTATTCTGCAAAAGCCTTCTCGTTCTGAGGTAGCAAATTCGTCCTCCCTTTCGAAACCGCACCTGCCACGTCACCCGACTGGGTCATCCACCACGGCGGGCTGTTGGAAAACGCCTCGAAGACATTCGCTCCTCTCTCCTTCGCTCCCAGCAGCACGTTCCGCTGCCGCCCGTCCGCGCTCCAATCGTACGGACCGAACCTTGTCGGCTTGTAACCCGGCATGCCCCTCCAATACGCCTCCAAGCTCTGATGAAACTGCGGGCTGCGTTTATCGTTGTGCCCCCCTCCGATGTTGTAACGCACCATGTTGAGACCTAACCCGTTGATGGGATCGAATATAAGGTCTAGCATCGCGGTCAGCTGCTGCTGCGGCAAGCCGCCGACGTAGTTTGCGAACCACGCGAGCGAAGTTCCCCACCCTCGCCACCTGGTTCCAATGAAATCTGGCGAAATTGTGAGATTGATTGCGCCTGCAAGGAAAGGGTGAAAGATGCAACAAAAATGATTTCGTTTGGTTGCTGAATGCATGAAAGCCGATACCTGGATACAGCCGGTATTGCCATCGTGTGTGTTCAGTCGAATCATAACAAACTAGCAGGTAGTAATACTATTAGCTTACCTGGGAACTTGCAGGTGGATAGCAATTCTTCGGCGGGCAATAGATCGGGGGGCGGACTTCGCTTGCTGCCAACCGCCCATGCCGCCATCATTGTTTTCGGGTGCGCGGCACTCCCGAAAAGGGCTAGAAATAGGACTGTAAAAGACACGCCGCCAGGGAGCAAACGCCTCGTCATCGTGCTTATTTTCTAGGGCACTACTAGCCGAGCATCACCCAGCCATAATTCTATTATTACTACGCTGCAAATTTTGATGTGCACGTAGCGGGAACTTGTAATGCGGGAGACGGTACGTGTAGTAGGAGCGAGGGTATGGCTCCGACGGAGCTAATGTACTAGCTGTGATATCATCGGTTGGTAGCAGCATAGCAAGGGGATCTACCCGAAGGACTTCGCCGCACCGTGTCTCTATCGCGGGCATCTCTATCAGACGAGAGCGCGTCTCGATGGATTCGCGCGCACAGAATCGGCTGAAGAAAGTAGTGAACATGGGGGTTGTGGTGTGTACTGATGAGGGGCAGGGGATCCTGGGTGGGTAGGTGGGATGGGTCGATTTGAGATTAGGCTGGGCTGGGCTGGGGGAGCCCTGACCATACAAATGGCGTGCGATTCGAGCCATTCGACATTGTTGCGATGTGAGTACTGACTGAATCGAGGGCGCTTCGAGAAAACATATTATTGTGATGGGCTTGTAGAGGTCGGGCACTTTTCACGGCAAGCTACACCTTCACACACGCACCAGAGAAAAATTAGCAGTACGTTTCAGTTATTGCACTAGAATTTGGATTTTGGTTCTATTGAACTTGACACACCGCTACCTTATTCAATGCTTAACTCCGTTCACACTTCAATGCCAAATATACTTGGTAGTTCTTTCCTTCAACCTTGCTCCTCAATAATGTCAAAGGGTTCATATTGATGCCAACGTCGCCAAAATTGCAGAAAGGACTCATGCCGAAGCAGGCCAGAATGTGCAACATACAATTGTGACACGACTTTCAGAGGAGTGTGCAGTGCAGTCGTCGTACAATCTGGCACTGCAAATCTAGCGCTATTAATGGTACGCGCTATTGGAATTAAAGTTAATTCGGGTTGCTCCAATAAACATATGTAGTGATACATCTACACTATAGTAGTGTAGAATACATTGGTTGGGTTGGGAGAACTTGTGGTGTACACTCTATAGAGTGGGCCACCTCCCAAACCCTATAGGTTAGGGTTCTCTCTTGTTGTAACTTCACTTCTTGGTAACCATTTTGGTTCTAGCATGGTTTATGCCCAATGTTGGCTCCTAAGATTCCTAGGCTTTAGGAGGAGGTTCTAAGACTACTATAGCTTCGGCTAGTAGCTTAGACCATTCTAACATGGTATCAGAGCGAGGTTGGCCTAACAATCTGTTGGAATATGAGCTACTCAAGAAATTTGATCATAACACCTTGGTGGAAGCTAAATAGCTTCCATCCCTCCCGAAGGACTGCCGAAATTGCACCGTGGCGGACTCTGGACGTGGGAGGGGAGGAGGAGAGAAGAAAACTGCTGGAAATCGTGTGGATCCGTTGGGGGAGGACGAGAAGAGCGACATCCATTCACGGAGGCGCTCAGTCAACTTTGGCCGATCAAGACGTGCAGCATACTGTTGGGAGGACCTCAACACGATCTACAACAATTGCCCCGGGGTCGTTACGAATCGACGAGCGGATCGGACGCAATTCGCAAAATACAGTCGGCGGACGAATTGGAAAATCGCGAATCGGTGAAGATTTAAAGCGCGGAAAAACGATTAGAGGGCAGACACCGACAGAGGAGGCTAGGGCGCATCCAACAATTCAAAGATCGGGAGAAACGGTCGAGTCTTCGTCGACGGGAAATCGGCCAACTTCGACGAGTTTAAGCGGCCAGCTCGAACACGGGATCCAGAAGCGCGATACATCATCGGAACGGTCTCGAAGCAAGGATTCATCTGAGCTAAACGGCTCATCATTCGGACGTTCGAGCACGGAGTTACGCTCTAATAACCAAGAGGGTGTGAATATGCCCGCATCAACTTCACCGTCACCGCCATTGCCTCCACCACCACCTCAACGTCAATCTTCAGTGCTACTGCCGCAAATGGATCATGACTCAGGCGAAGGGAAGCTGGAGAGTGCGCCAAAGTTCGACGGGAGCGACTATTGGACTTGGAGCTTCCGATTCGAGCAATGGGCAGAGGCACACGATCTCAGTCTCATTCACGACTTCACCAGACGAGTTTGGTCGTTCCCACTCCCCAACAAGGAATCGGCCATAATCGCAAAAGTTCTTCGCCAGTGGCATAAGGACGTGGAGTTGGAGTGTGGGCGGAAGTTGAAGGCTGTTCGCTCCGACAGGGGTGGCGAGTTCTTGGGGGACGCTGTGAAAGCATGGAAAGCGGAGTTTGGCATCAAAACCCAATTGAGTGTCGCAGATACACCGCAACAGAATGGGGTCGTGGAGAGGTGGCACTGGACGATGGCAGAGGGGATTCGCACATTGTTGGTCGACAGTGGTCTCCCTGCTCGCTTGTGGGGTGAAGCATTGATGTGGGTCGTGTGGGTTAAGAATAGGGTCACCCACAGTGCTTTGCCTGCCTCCATCACACCAATGGAGGCGTGGTCCGGCCAGAAGCCGCATGTGGGCATGGCTCGGATTTGGGGTTGCATGGGGAGTGTCATGCTGCATGGGCATGAGAAGGGTGGCAAGCTTGATGCACGGGCTGTCATGTGTGTCTGTGTTGGGGTGGACATGGAGAGCAAGGGTTGGCGCATGCTGGACCCTTCTCTCATGCGCATTCGCATTGCTCGGGATGTTGATTTTCTTGAGAATGTGATGTGGAAGGATTGGGACAAGGCAAAGGGAATTGGGGAGCTTCTGCAGGATGCAGCTGCGATTTCCCAACTCCTCCCTCTTCCACTCTCGCCACCCTCAGCACCGGCTGACGACGTTGAGATGCCACCTTCATCACTGCCACCGGCACCGCTGAGTGTGTCGGTGCAGCAGCAGCCCACCCCTCTGCAGTAGCTCAGTGGCCCCTCGGTCATTCAGCGGAGATCCATTACACAGGCTACTTCCTCTTCCTCCTCCTCTGGTCAGCGCTCTGTCCCTCTCTCTACGGGTGCCCCTCCGTCACCAGCAACTACCTCCCCACCACCGGTTACGGGTTTGCAGGTGCTTGGTATCCAGTCTGGTACAGGTGGTGAGGAGGTAGGGGGGGATGCTGGTGTGGTTGAGGGCATGCTGTGTTTAGCCAGGGAGGTGGAAGGTGTTGCACTGGCAGGTGTGAGCACCGGTGATGTCCCACGCACACTCGCTGAGGCCCTGCGTGGCCCTGAGGGCCCTGCGTGGAAGGCAGGCGCTGAGAAGGAGGTAAATGCAATGCGCACTATGGGTGTATGGGATCCAGAGCCGGTCGACTTACCTCTAGGTAAGAAGGCCATTGGGGTCAGGTACGTTTTCCGCAGGAAAACTGACAAGGAGGATAAGGTGGTACAGCACAAGGTTCGCCTTGTTGCTAAGGGGTACACTCAGGAGCCCGAGAAGGACTATGATCAGGTATTTGCCCCTGTGGGCAAGCTCACCTCAGGTCGGGTGCTTCTTGCAGAAGCCGCGGTAAAAGGGTGGCATGTACAACAGGAGGATGTTGATCATGCTTACCTCAATGCAGTCCTTCAAGAGGAGGTGTATGTGAGGCAACCTGAGGGATTTGATGATGGTACAGGTAGGGTGTATCGCTTGCGCAAAGCTCTCTATGGGCTCAAGCAAGCGCCTCGTGCTTGGAATGAGGAGATTGGTACCACCCTGATTGCAACAGGGTTTGACCGCAGTGCATGTGATGAGGCTCTGTACATCAGGTTTGTGGATGAAGAGCCAGTGTATGTATTGGTGTATGTGGATGACCTCTTGCTTGTGTCTCCACGCTTGGAGCTGATCGGTCAGGTCAAGGAGGTGCTTGCTCAGAGGTACCAGATGAAGGATCTATGTGAGGTATCCACGTACCTTGGTGTGGAGGTTCGCAGGTCGGTCAATGATGGGTGGTTGGAGATTGGTCAGGAGAAGTATGTCCGTGGTCTCCAGGGAAGGTTTGGTGATCTGCTGAAGGAGACCCATAGGGTGCATACTCCAATGTCACCCAATGATCTCTCTAAGATCAGGAATGGTACTTGGTCGACTGAGGAAGGTGTTGCAGCTGATGTCAAGGTGTACCAGAGTCTCATTGGCAGCTTGATGTATGCTGCTGTGACCACCCGTCCTGACATGTCTTTCACTGTCAACACCCTTGCACAGTCCTGCGTGGCACCAAGACGCATTCACATGCGCGCTGCACTGAGAGCACTCAGGTACTTGGTCGACACAGCTGATCGTGTCATCGGGTATGAGCGCCAAGGTGGTGAGCAGGTTGTTGGGTACACAGACTCGGATTGGGGTGGTGAGACTGATGGCAAGAGTCGCTCTGCCTACATCTTTAAGCTGGGAGGAGGAGCAATCCGCTGGTATAGCAAAAGGCAAGACAGTGTTGCAGCAAGCGTTTCTGAAGCTGAGTACAAAGCTCTATCGGAGGGGGCCAAGGAGGCCATTTGGTTGAGGAGTTTGTTGGCAAAGATGCATGTGGGGGATGGGGGGGCTATTCCATTGCTCTGTGATAATGAGGCTGCTGTCTCCCTTGCCCACAATCCCGTTCTCCATCAGCACACCAAGCACATTAAGGTGGCATGGCACTTTGTACGGGATGCGGTGCGCCAGCAGGAGGTCGAGGTGCACTCAGTACGCTCCCACCTCCAGGATGCCGACATGCTCACCAAAGCTCTTCCAAGCTTGCAGCTGCATGAGAACCTGGAGCGCATCGGCATGCGAGTGATGGCTGCGAAGGCCAGGGCTTCATTCGCTGGAGGGGTTGTGTTTTGATTTATGGGTGAACTTTAATGCTTATTGGAGCAAGGGGGGGTGTTGGAATTAAGGTTAATTCGGGTTGCTCCAATAAACATATGTAGTGATACATCTACATTATAGTAGTGTAGAATACATTGGTTGGGTTGGGAGAACTTGTGGTGTACACTCTATAGAGTGGGCCACCTCCCAAACCCTATACCAGGTTAGGGTTCTCTCTTGTTGGAACTTCACTTCTTGGTAACCGCTTTGGTTCTAGCATGGTTCATGCCCAAGTTGGCTTCTAAGATTCCTAGGCTTTAGGAGGAGGTTCTAAGACTACTATAGCTTCCGCTAGTAACTTAGACCATTCTAACACGCGCCTCTCCAGCTCCTCTCAGTATCGCTATACACCCAGCATACGTATGTGTTGTGAAGTGTCAAATGTTGAACATTGATATGATAGGCTATAGTGAGTTGCACTCTAGGGGGTACAGCTTCTAGGGTTGCTCATTTGTACCTCATTCGTTTCTATTCCAATCATTCCGTTGTTCGCTAACTTTGAGATGGTATCATGAGTAGGTGTCGATCCTCTCGCCTAGCCTAGCCTAGCTCGCGCCCTAGCGCCCTCCGCGCCCTTGCGCCCTAGCACACTCCGCGCCCTCCGCGCCCTCCGCGCCCTTGCGCCCTAGCACCCTCCGCGCCCTCCGCGCCCTCCGCGCCCTCCGCGCCTTAGCCACCGCGCCCTCCGCGCCATCTCCGCGCCTTAGCGCCCTCCTCCTCCGCGCGTTAGCGCCCTCCGCGCCCCTAGCCTGCGCCCCTAGCCCGTCGCCCAGGCGCCCGCCCCAGCCCGTCGCCCAGGCGCCCGCCCCAGCCCGTCGCCCAGGCGCCCGCCCCAGCCCGTCGCCCAGGCGCCCGCCCCAGCCCGTCGCCCAGGCGCCCGCCCCAGCCCGTCGCCCAGGCGCCCGCCCCAGCCCGTCGCCCAGGCGCCCGCCCCAGCCCGTCGCCCAGGCGCCCGCCCCAGCCCGTCGCCCAGGCGCCCGCCCCAGCCCGTCGCCCAGGCGCCCGCCCTAGCCCGTCGCCCAGGCGCCCGCCCGAGCCCGTCGCCCAGGCGCCCGCCCCAGCCCGTCGCCCAGGCGCCCGCCCCAGCCCGTCGCCCAGGCGCCCGCCCTAGCCCGTCGCCCAGGCGCCCTCCCTAGCCCGTCGCCCAGGCCTGCGCCCTAGCCCGTCGCCCAGGCGCCCGTCCTAGCCCGTCGCCCAGGCCTGCGCCCTAGCCCGTCGCCCAGGCGCCCGTCCTAGCCCGTCGCCCAGGCGCCCGTCCTAGCCCGTCGCCCAGGCGCCCTCCCTGGCTCGTCACCCCAGCCCCGCAGGCAGCGCGCCACGCGGGTAGCGCGCCCCGCGGGTAGCGCGCCCCGCAGGAGGCGCGCCCCGCGGGTAGCGCGCCCCGCAGGCAGCACACCCTGCAGGCAGCGCGCCCCGGGGTGCTTTAGTGCCAGAAAATAAATAAATAAATTAAACCCTAAAAAAAAAAAGAAAAAAAAAAGGGGTTCACAGTGGGGGCCTGCGACTGTCGCCCGCGTTCTTGCTTGCCGGACGACCTGCACAGTTGCCTACATCCCGCAGCCGTCAGTACTGCAGCCCCTACTGTCGCACGTACTTTCCACTGCCAGTGGCTCTACTAGCGGCAGCCGACAGCCGCACTTACGGTCTCTAGCCCCGGCCGTTCCTACCTCCAGCCAGCCCTAGCTCGCCGCTTCTAGCTCCAGCCGTTCTCGCTCCAGCCGTTCTCGCTCCTCGCTCGTAGCTCAGTTTGCTCCGTGCTCCGGCCGTTCCTCGCCTAGTTTCACCTGGCGCTTCTAGCTCAGTTTGCTCCGTGCTCCAGCCGTTCCTCGCCTAGTTTCACCTGGCGCTCCTAGCTTAGTTCGCTCCGTGCTCCAGCAGTTACTCGCCTGGTTTCACCTGGCGCTCCTAGCTTTCACAGCAGCCTGTCGCTCCTGTCGCTCCTAGCCTGCCGCTCCTGCACCCCGCTAGCTTTTATCATGGAGTCCGCTAGGGTTCTCCAGCAGCAGGGACAGCAGCAGCGGCCTTTTCAGCAGTGGCTTCCGCAGCGGCAGGGGCGCCCTCAGCAGCTGTGGCGCCCTCAGCAGCCATGGGGGCCTGGTGGTTCAGGTCGCGTTGGCTGCAGCAGCGGCCCAGCCAGCTGGGGGGCTCGTCGCGGTGGCCGCGACGTCGGCCCCTGCCAGTACCGGATCCTGACCGGCCCTGGTGCTGGCACTACCTGCTGGCGTCCTGACCACTCTGCACAGCGCTGCTACAGCCGCCTCGACGACCTTTACCGTGAGCGTTTTGGGCCTGAGTCGGCTCCCCCGATCTGGCCCGGTCTGTTTCGTAGTGGTTTCCCTGTGTTTGATATGTCTATGGATGCTGTTTATTCTGTCACGTACGGATCTCTTGGCTTACATGTACCTAGCTTAGGACCTTTGCCTGTTGCTAGTGTCGGTACTTGTGCTTTTAGTGTAGGTGCTTGTGTAGTCACTAGCCCAGCCGTGACGACTGCTGTTGCGTCGCTCTCCTTCACGCTGGACTCCGGCGCGTCTCAGTGTTTCTTCCGCGACCACACCACTGTCACACCTCTTTCGGCTCCAGTCCCAGTTGCCCTGGCTGATCCTACTTCAGGACCAGCAGTTGCTCGTAGCTCGACCACCCTCCCGTGCCCGGCTGTCCCCTCTGGTTTCCTCACTGGTCTCTACATCCCCTCGTTCTCTCGGAACTTGGTGGGTGTTGGATACCTTCAGGACCGGGGGATCACAGTCACTTTTCCTGCGCACGGGAGGACTGCGATCTGTACGGACTCTTCCACCGGGGCAGTTCTTGCCACGTTCACCAGAGAGCCCCACTCAGGTCTCTTCGTCCTGCACACTCCGCCCCCGCAGGTAGCTGCGTCTGGTCAGGTTGCTTCGTCCCCCCCGGTAGCAGAGTCCGGTCAGGTGGCTGTGTCCAGTCCGGTCGCTGTGTCCAGTCCAGTCGCTGCGTCTTGCTCCTGTGGCACCACCGTCTTGGCCACCCGTCGATCCCTCGCCTTCGTGGCATGCTCAGTCAGGGACTAGTCACAGGTCTCCCACGCACCTTCCCGTCGCTCCCTCCCTCGCTTGCCCCTCCTTGCTCTCCGTGCGTCGCCGGTCGCTTACGTGCCACTCCCCACTCCTCCTCCCTTCGTCCGGCCACCGCTCCCTTCGAGACTCTCCACTTGGACGTCTGGGGCCCTGCCCCGACGCAGGGGTCTGGGAGGGAGCGCTACTTTCTGGTGGTCGTCGACGACTTCTCCAGGTACACCACAGTGTTTCCTCTTGCGAAGAAGTCCGAGGTGACTGCTACGCTGATCAGGTGGCTTCTAGCCACTGAGGGCACTCGTGGTCGTCGAGTCAGTTGTCTTCACTCCGACCGTGGGGGCGAGTTTCGCTCCGGCATTCTCGGCAGATTCTGCGGCGAACAGGGCATCACCCAGTCCTGGACGCTGCCAGCGTCCCCACAGCAGAATGGGGTTGCTGAGCGCCGCATAGGCTTGGTCATGGACATCGCCCGCACGTCCATGATTCATGCCCGTGCGCCCCATTTTCTGTGGCCTCACGCGGTTCGCTACGCCGCACACCAGCTGAACCTCCAGCCGCGTGTCTCGCGGCCCGAGGCTTCACCGACCAGTCTCTGGACTGGATCCCCTGGTGTTGGGTCGGCCTTTCGAGTCTGGGGCTGCCTTGCACTTGTTCGCGACACCTCCGCGGACAAGCTCTCGGCACGCGCCGTCCCCTGTGTCTTCCTTGGTTTCCCAGTGGACTCTGCTGACTGGTCCTTTTACCACCCTCCCCTCCACCAGTTCCTAGATTCCCGTGACGTCCGGTTTGACGAGTCCGTGTCCTACTACACCTGGTACCCCTGTCGAGGTCTCCCGGTACCCCCTCCCCCTCTCTTCCTCGCACCCTCTCCTCCTCCTGCTCCCGCTCCTCCGGTACCCCCGCCCCCCCCTGGTCCTGCCCCGTCTGGTGTGTCCCACGCTACCCCTCTCCCCTCGGTCGCGCATCAGGTAGCGTCTCCCTCCCCGCAGTCCTCCTCACAGTCCCCTCAGCAGCCTTCGGCACTTCCGCGACAGGTTACTGTGGACTCGGTTGGTGTTGGAGCTGGAGGTGCAGCCGCTGGCGGTGCTCGGTCTGGGGGTGCTCGGTCGCGGGGTGCTGGAGCTGGAGGTGCTGGCGCAGGTGACGCTAGCTCTGGGGGTGCTGGAGCTGGAGGTGCTGGCGCAGGTGGCGCTAGCTCTGGGGGTGCTGGAGCTGGAGGTGCCGGCACTGGAGGTGCTGGTTCTGGGGGTGCTGGAGTTGGGGGTGCTGGCACTAGCGGTGCTAGTTCTGGGGGTGCTGGAGTTGGAGGTCCTAGCACTGGCGGTACTGGTTCTGGGGGTGCTGAGTCTGAGGAGACTGACGCTGGAGACCCTGGTTCTGCGGAGTCCACCCCGCCCCCCCACCGCCACGACACGCGTCTCCAGGCTGCCCGTCGGCGTGAGCGTGAGGAGCAGGAGCGGTTGGAGAGGGAGCGGCAGGAGCTGCGGGTGCTGGACCTTCTGGAGCAGCAGCGGCAGCAGCAGCAGCAGCAGCAGCAGCAGCAGCAGCAGCAGCAGCAGCAGCAGCAGCAGCAGCAGCAGCAGCAGCAGCAGCAGCAGCAGCAGCAGCAGCAGCCGCAGCCGCAGCCGCAGCCACAGCCGCAGCAGCAGCAGCAGCCGCAGCCGCAGCGGCCGCAGCCGCCACCGCAGCTTCCTCTAGAGCGGCGGTTGTTCCCACCTGTGAGTGGCTTGCGGGCCCTTGGCCTTTCCTCCTCTCCTCCTGTCCGCTCCCAGTCTCCTCCTGTGTTTGTTCCTCCGTTGCCTCCTCCTGACGACCGTCCGGCGGTCTGGTCTTCTCCTCCTCCTCAGTCTCCTCCTCCCTCTGTCCGTCGCGACTTGATCACTCGTTGTCCTCCGCGTGCTCGTCACTCGTCCCCTGTTACTGACCTCCACACTGCCCTCCTTTGTTCGTCTCGTCGTCGTTCTCCTTCTCCTGTGTCCGTTCTCCCGTCTCCTCTTCCGTCCTCTCTACCTGCCCTCCCCACTCCTATCTCTGACTACTACCGCGCTGTTCGTCCTGTTGCCGCACGTGTCCTCACCACTCTTGTCACCGACCCTCGTTTCCCTCCGTCGTCTGTCTCGGCTCTCACTGCCGCTGTCGCTGAGTTTGCTGCCGCCAGCCGCCTTGACTACGCCACCCGTGTGGTGCCAGCTCCTCCCTACCGTCCTCTGTCCGTCGGGGGTGGGTTTGCCCTTGGCTGTGACGTCCTAGAGGACAGAGAGTCTGAGCTGGAGTACTGGGCAGCCGCTTCTCCCTCTGTGTGTGCCATGCTGCTCTCCCCTGAGGGAGACCCCGACGCCCTTGACATACCGACTCCTCGCACTTACCGCGAGGCAGTGTCAGGGGCGTGGGCCTCTCAGTGGAAAGCGGCTATGGACTCAGAGTTGGCGTCTTGGAGATCCACAGGCACCTACGTCGACGCAGTTCCCCCTCCCAGGGCGAACGTAGTCGATGGCATGTGGCTCTTCAAGGTGAAGCGGCCGCCTGGAGCACCGCCGGTGTTCAAGGCGCGCTACGTGGCTAGGGGTTTCAGTCAGCGTGAGGGAGTTGACTTCTTCCAGACCTTCGCCCCGACCCCGAAGATGACTACTCTTCGGGTGTTACTCCACATAGCAGCGCAGCGAGACTACGAGCTGCACTCCCTCGACTTCTCCACTGCGTTCCTCCAGGGCCGACTGCACGAGGAGATCTGGCTGCGCCGTCCTCCTGGCTTCACTGACACCTTCCCACCTGGGACCCAGTGGAGCCTGAGGCGACCAGTCTACGGTCTCCGCCAGTCGCCCCGTGAGTGGCACGACACTCTTCGCTCCACGCTTTGTGACCTTGGGTTCAGCCCGTCCTCCGCCGACCCGTCGCTGTTTGTTCGAGCGGGTTCTACTCCTTTCTTTATCCTTGTCTACGTCGACGACTTGGTGTTTGCTACAGCAGACAGGGCAGCCCTGGCTCAGGTGAAGTCCGAACTGCAGAAGAGACACAAGTGCACTGACCTGGGTGAGCTGCAGCGCTACCTTGGCCTGCAGATCACCCGGGACAGAGCCGCTCGCACCATCACACTGACGCAGTCACACATGGTGCAGCAGGTCCTTCGGCGGTTCCACTTCCAGTTCTCCACCACACAGCCCATTCCTCTTGCTGTTGACCACAGACTCACGGGCCCCTTTCCTGACGAGCCCTTTGAGTCCAGTGGACCCTACGCAGAGCTGGTGGGCTGCCTCATGTACCTGATGACTTGTACTCGACCGGACCTCGCCTTTCCACTCAGCATCCTTTCTCGCTTTGTTGCGACTGGGAGACACCGCCCTGTCCACTGGACAGCTGCTGTGAGGGTGGCGAAGTACCTGGCGACTACATCAGGCTTGGGGCTTGTGCTTGGAGGGACTCAGCCAGTGGCGTTGACTGGTCACTGCGACTCTTCCTACGCTGACGACGTGGAGACTCAGCGTTCGACTCAGGGTTACTGCTTCAGTCTGGGAGCTGGTGCTGTGTCGTGGAGGTCTACACGGTCGTCGTCTGTGGCTACTTCCAGTGCAGAGGCAGAGATCTATGCTGGTGCCATGGCGGCACAGGAGCTTCGCTGGTTGACCTTCTTGCTCGCTGACCTTGGTGAGCGGCCTCGCTCTGCACCGACCTTGTACGCTGACAACAAGGCCATGATCCTCCTGTGTCGAGAGCCTCGACTGGAGAGCAGAGTGAAGCATATTGACGTGAGGTACTTCCTCCTGCGAGAGCTGCAGCGACGCGGTCAGGCACGCCTGGACTTTGTGGCCTCAGAGGCCAACACTGCAGACGTCTTCACCAAGGCCTTGGCGCTTGGTGACCACCATAGGTTCTGTGTGCAGTTGGGGCTTGTTGAGGTAGGCCCTCGGTTGGTGTAGTCCTGTTGCTTGCTCTGCTTGTTGTGCTTTGTATTTATATCCTAGTGAACTCTTGAACTGGCCTTGTGGCCGCTTGCTTGCGCTCGGAATTTGTGTGGTGTCCTTGAGATCCACCCTGAGCTTGCCTTGGTTCTTGGTTTGACTGGTCTTGTGACCGTTTGTTCACCTTGCTTGCTTTGATGCCCCTCACTTAGCCTATGGGGGTGTGTCAAATGTTGAACATTGATATGATAGGCTATAGTGAGTTGCACTCTAGGGGGTAAGCTTCTAGGGTTGCTCATTTGTACCTCATTCGTTTCTATTCCAATCATTCCGTTGTTCGCTAACTTTGAGATGAAGTTGTCAAATTCCAATCCCAGCAGAAAATTACACAGCACATTCCGAGCTAATTATTTCTCATACCGATAATCACTTGTACCGCTACCTTATTCAATGCTTATCTCCGTTCACACTTCAATGCCAAATATACTTGGTAGTTCTTTCCTTCAATCTTGCTCCTCAATAATATCGAAGGGTATGTAGTGAATTCATATTGATGCCAACGTCGCCAAAATTGCAGAAAGGACTCATGCCGAAGCAGGCCAGAATGTGCAACATACACTAAGTTGAAATTCTGGCATAGCAAGTCTGGCGCTATTAATGATACGCGCCTCTCCGGCTCCTCTCAGTATCGCCATACACCCAGCATAGTATGTGTTGTGAAGTTGTCAAATTCCAATCCCAGCAGAAAATTACATAGCACATTCCGAGCTAATTATTTCTCATACCGATAATCACTTGTAGCGATCTCGAGTTCATGTTCGCAAACACAAGCAAATGTAACGAACAGGAGCAGCAAGGCACAACAATCTCCACATCCCTACCAGGAACTCCACCAATCCCCATCACCCCCACTCCTCCCTCCTCCCCTCTCCTTTCCCCAAGCCCCCCTTCCCCTCCCCCTCCTCCATTTTGCTGTCTCTCTGTTCCCACATTTCCAGCAGCACCCCCCTCACCTCCACCTGTCTCCATCCCAGGTCCCCCACTACAGGCCACCAATCCTTTACTCCCAAGAGCCACTCCCTCGAGACCAAGAGCCTCAACCACCTCCTGTGATTCCAATGCAAATACGTCCCCACACCGACACTCGGCCACAAACACACCTCTCCTGTAGGCCTCCTCGCCTGCTCCCTCCCAACCTGAACCTCCCTTCCCACTATCATGCTTCCCCACATTCCCCTCTTTTTCCTCCTCTCCGCATTCTGCCTTTTCTTCTGCTTCTTCTTGTTCTTCCTCCTCCCATGTCATGTCGTCTATGCTAATCCCATCAGCACACGACGTTGCACCACCACAGCTAGCTCCTCCTGCTGCTTCTCGGGCCACTGATGCTACCCCTCCTCCTTCTCTCCCTCCTCCTTCGGCCCCGTCTACTGCTGTGGGTTCTGCTGCCAACTCACCATTCTCCCTCTGCCCTCCCTCCACCCCACCTTGCCTCACCCCTTGGCTCTCCCCTTCTTGTAGGTGACAACCATTCGCAGAGCTGGAACTGTAGCCACCATTGGTGGAGCTGTAGCAGGCAGCACTGTAGCTGCGGCTGTAGCAGCCCTGCTGCACCAGAGCCAGTGCCGCCGCCCGTTTGTCTGACTCTGCACCAGATTCGTTACAAGGAAATATTGGTACACAAAGAGACTAATTTAAGCATCGAGAAGAGTCCCTTTGAGACCAGATTAAAGAGGTCAGGCTCACAGGAGAGGCAGGGCATGTTGTAGCGCACGATTATGAGCCAAAGACGCGTCTCGCGCTCCCGAACCCTAGCCGTGGGAAATTTCGAATTCAATCACGAGCCCGTCGTTTGTTTTATGACCTTAACTGGACACCTGAACCCCAAACTTGAGAACACCTGGCGGTTAAGGAACGCACCAAGGAGCATGCGATCGTAATCCGCGCGAGTGGACGAATCGCGCAGAGCACTCCAAGCCGCGTGCACGCGCTGAAACCGTTGCTCCTGACCGTTAGGAACGCTGTCGTTGTTAGTGTCTTCTCCGTTATCCTGCACCCGTCGTCCCAGATCTTCGTGAATTCGTTCGCCTTCCTGCTGCCGTTGCGCTTGCTTCTGGCTTTGATTCTGCTGCTGCTTGTCTGGGTGCAACAGCAGCGCTGCTTCTTGGAAACTGCGACGGATCTCCTCTACACTAGCACTTCGGGCTACACATAGCGCATCGTAGTGAGTCTCACCCAATCCATATGACTTCGCCGCTCTTCCTCTACTTGAGAACGAAGAGGACGCCATTCCCGCGCGATTGCTTTGAAGATTGCGAATCCTAGGCCCCTCGCCGAAAGTGCATATGATAGCGAATCTGAAACTTCTGATCAAGCCCGAAACCCTGGGCTTGGTTTGGGTTTGATCAGAAGTTGCAAGTTCGCGCGCTGACTTTTCCGGAGGGAGGAACGATTGAGTTCGGTTGAGAGAGCTGGAGTCGGGTTTCCAAATTCTGCCTTGAGTTTGTCCCCACAACAGTGACATGACAAGTAATGGATTCGCCTTTCAACCCTGCCTGAGACAATTGGGAATTCACCTTACAGGAATTTTACACACAGAAAGTGCTGAAGCTGCACGGTCTAGACTGACAGGGTCCTGACGAGGTAAGCCGCTGCGTTGACGGCTTTGAAGGTGTTGACGGCGTTGACGGCTTTGACGGCGTTGACATGTATTGAATGATCTCGCGATGGACATAGGATTTCGGCTTAGCCGCCTGCCGGCTGTTTCAGCCAGCCGGCTGACCGTTGTTTTGACGGCCGGCCCGTTTGGCACGCTTCGTTTCAGAAGATTGCCTGTCGTGCCGTTTTTCGCGGCGGATCGGCTAGTTTGCACGTCAACGCCGTTTGGGGAGTCTATGAAATCTCTTGCGATTCTAAATCGCAGCAGTGGGATAGTGGCGAATAAGGCGACCTTGGAGACAAATTCCCGCAGCGCTTGGCGCCAGGCGAAGTTTCGCATAGCTTGTAACACGCGAAATGGGGTTACCAGTCGGGTTACCACTGGCTCTGCGACAAGCCGCAGGAGCATCAATACCAGCAGCAGGAATGGGAATGTTGACAAGGCAGAGAAGAGGGAGACGGGGAAAGGGGAAACGGCGGGGAAGGTGGCGGGGAAGGGGGAGGCGGCGGAAGGGGAGCAGGAGCTTGGAGCGGAAAATCGGCCGCTTAGGCTGGTGGTGATTGGGGGAGGGGCGGCGGGCGTGTTTGGCGCGATTCGAGCCAAGGAGATGGCGCCTGGCCTGGAGGTCAGGGTGGTGGAGAAGAGTCAACCGCTGGGGAAGGTGAGAGGGATGGGGGGAGAGGAGAGGGGGAGAAGGGAGGAGGGGAGGATGGGGGAGGGGAAGGGGGATGGATCTGGGGCGGAGCTGGGGGGTGGGATGGGAGTGGTTGGTGGGATACGGGCCAAGGAGAAGATTCAACCGCTGGGGAAGGTGGGGAAGGTGAGAGGGCGGGGGGAGGGGAAGAGGCAACCGCACTGCACCGCCATCTGTACTGCACCGTTTCTGATCCCATTTCATGCCCCACCTGCCTCCCCCCATGTCTCCTCCCATGCATCAGGTGCGCATATCAGGGGGTGGGCGCTGCAACGTCTTATTCTTAGGCACCTAAATAATCTCCCCTTTCGGTGCTTCCTTCCTTGCCCCATCCTGCTCATCAGGTGCGGATATCAGGGGGTGGGCGCTGCAACGTCACCACAGGCCTCGCAGCCGACCCTATAGTACGTGCAGCTTGTATCAAAGTATATGTGTAATGTAACTTGTTACGTGGAACATGTAATTCATAGCCAGTCATGTAACTTGTTTGTTATGTGGAGTATGCAATTCCTAGCCTAAAACATGTAACTTTTAATATGGAGCGTGTAACTTGTCGCACAGAAAATGTAACGTGTAGTTGGCTTAAACTCGGCTTTCCCTCTCCTCTTCTCTGCGTCCTCTTTGAGGGGCCTCAACTGTCGTTGCTGTCATGATGTTGAGTTTTGAGACGTCGCAAAACATGTTTCAGCACCTCTTCCTGTTCCATCCAGAGGTGATTCCTGAGTCGGCGTTAGTTGGCTTAAGATCGCCTCTTCCTCTCCTTTTCTCTGCATCACCTTTTGAGGCGCCTCAACTGTCCTTGCTGTCACGCTGTTTCAGCACCCCTTCCTGTTCCATCCAAAGGTGATTCCTGAGTCGGTGTTAGTTGGCTAAAAATCGTCTCTTCCTCTCCTATTCTCTGCACCACCTTTTGAGGCGCCTCAACTTTCCTTGCTGCCACGTTGTTTCAGCATCTTTTTGAGTCGACTAAATAAAAAAAACAGCATCTCTTCCTGTTCCATCCGCTCTCCCCTCCCTCTCCTCTTCTCTGCGTCATTATTGCCCCCTCCTCTCAGCACCTCTCCTCCCACTACCCAAGGGGTCTCCGCGAGCTCAAAGGCTCCTTTTTCCGCACGCACGGCCTGGCACACCCTACTGAACCGCACTCTACCCTCTACTCTGCCCCCCCTGCATCAGTTCTCCGACCCCCTCTTTCCATTGTCCCCCCCTCCTCTCAGCACCTCTCCTCCCACTACCCAAGGGGCCACCGCGAGCTCAAAGGCTCGTTTTTCCGAACGCATGGCCCAGCAGACACGGTCGAGTGGTTCACCCAACGAGGGGTGCCCCTGAAGGTATGCGTGCATATGTCTGTCCTGCACTTTGTCTGTGCTTCTAGGGATGCCCCTGAAGGTATGCGTGCATATGTCTGTCCTGCACTTTGTCTGTGCTTCTAGGGATGCTGCTGCTGCTCCCAGTCTCACCGCCTGCTCCCAGGGTCACCTCACCGCCTGCTCCCAGTCTGCTTTATTTACAGTCCCTCCCATCCCCATGACAGACTGGCCCAGACGGGCGCATGTTTCCCGTGTCAGACTCCTCCCAGTCAGTTATTGACTGCCTGCGGCTACCTATCCCTCACACCTTCTTTTCCGCACACTCCCTTCAATTTCTCCACCCCCCTCGCCCCCCCCACCCCCCATGACAGACTGGCCCAGACGAGCGCATGTTTCCCGTGTCAGGCTCCTCCAGTCAGTTTTTGACTGCCTGCGCTGCGCCTACCTGCGCCGTGTTATTGACTCCACCCACTCCCGTCACTCCCGCTTCTCCCCATTCTCAATCTACCCCACCCTGCTCTTCCCATGCCAGACAGAAGCAGACGGGCGCATGTTCCCGGTGTCAGATTCCTCCCATCAGTTACTGACTGCCTGCTCAACCCGTCCGTCACTCCCCCCTCTTTCCCCTACACTACACCCCCATGCCAGACAGAGCCAGATGGGCGCATGTTCCCAGTCTCAGACTCCTCCCAATCAGTCATTGATGTCACGTGCCAGCCAGTCCCTCAACCTGTCACTCCCCCCTCTTTCCCCTACTCCACACTACCATGGCAGACCGAGCCAGACGGCCGCATGTTCCCAGTCTCAGACTCCTCCCAATCAGTTACTGACTGCCTGCTCTCACAAGCCCACCAGCTCTCAGGTACTCTCTCAGCTGCCCTCATGTACATCATCAGGTGCTCTCGGGTACTTCCTCAGGTGAATTCTCAGGTGAATCCACCCCCTCTTTCCCCCGTGTCCATGTCCCCTGGCTGGCTCGTAGCGTCCATCGCTCACATCCGTTGATCCACTGACTCGCACCCCATCATCGCCTCCATCCCCTTCATCCACTCGCTTTCTGTGCTATCGCTCTCGCTCATTCCCACCCCTCCCTTGGCTGACCCGTAGCAATTATGGCTCGCACCCCTTGAGGCCAGATTATGTTGACCCACACTCTCGTCCATCACTTCCTACCGTTCCCCCCTTTCCCCGTCCCTCCCCCCTTCCCCCTTTCACCCGCCCCCCGCCTTCCAGTGACCATCTCCCCTGGCTGGCCTGTTTTTGAGATGTCTCAAAAATAACCTTGTAACGCGTGCCCCCCTTCCCCCTTTCACCCACCCCCCGCCTCCCAGTGACCATCTCCCCTGGCTGGCCTGTATCATCCATCTCTCCCACCCCGTCAGGCCAGTTCCTCATATCCTCCTCCAAGAAGACTCCAAAGATTACCAACAGCTCCTCCTCTCCCTCCTCCTCCCCTCTCTCCCTCGTGGCTGATTTCGTTCTTATCGCCACCGGTGGGTCAATCAAGGTATTAGACCTTTTTGTTAGGGTGATCTCTGAACATCATCTGTGTTGTTTATGAATCTCAGCATGTCACTTCATCATCCCTCTCTGCCCTTCCCTCCTTCCTTTCCCCAAATGTGTCTCAGTCTCACAGTTTCACCCCATCTCAACCCTTCCCACCCATCCCTGTCCCCCATCACCCCTTCTCATCTCTCCCCACCCCTCTCTACTCCTGCAGGGTCATGACATGGCATCATCCCTTGGCCACTCCATCATCCCTCCCTGCCCATCTCTCTTCACTTTCAACATCCCTGATTCTGCTCTCACTGCTCTTGCAGGGGTGAGTGAGTGAGTCGACTCAAAACACACCAATGCGTTTTCTTCCATATCTCTGTCGTTCCATGCCCATCAAACCAGGTGTGTTTTGAGTCGACTCAAAACACACAAATGCGTTTTCTTCCATATCTCTGTCGTTCCATGCCCATCAAACCAGGTGTGTTTTGAGTCGACTCAAAACACACCAATGCGTTTTCTTCCATATCTCTGTCGTTCCATGCCCATCAAACCAGGTATCCCTTGAAGACGTGTCTCTCAAGCTGCTCGTTCCATCCTCGCCTTTCTCCACCTTCCCCCACTGCCTGCCACTGCCCCTTCTTCTTCCATACATTCTCTCTGCCTCTCATCCACCTTTCCCCTCTGTCTTGCCCTCTGTCAAACCAGGTATCCCTTGAAGACGTATCTCTCAAGCTGCTCGTTCCATCCTCCCCTTCCTCCTCCCCCCCTTCACCATTCACCTCTGCCGATACTGCCACCACCGCTGCCGCCACCACCACCACCACTGCCACCACCAGCACCACCACCGTTGCTGCTGCCACTGCCACTGCCACTGCCACTGCCACTGCCACTGCCACTTCTGCCGCTGCTGCAACCACAACCTCTGGAAAGTCCAAGGCCAAGCAGCGAAAGGAAAAGGATTTTTTCTTCACACAGCGCGGGCCCCTCCTCTTCACGCATTGGGGAGTGAGCGGCCCGGCTGTGCTGAAACTATCAGCCTGGGCAGCCCGGAATCTACATGCTTCGGCTTACACTGGTAGGTGGGTGGGTGGGCCTCCGTAATGGTTGTTATCCCTATCTCCTCACTTCACCTTTCTCTCTCCCCCCACCCCTCCTCTTTACACACTGGGGAGTGAGCGGTCCAGCCGTGCTGAAGCTTTCCGCGTGGGCTGTTAGGAATCTGCACGCCTCTGCCTACACTGGTGGGTGGGTGGCACTGGTGGTGGGGGGGTTACATTGGTGGATGATGGGTGGCGAGTCCTCTCCCGTCCCTCTCCTCTTCACGCATTGGGGAGTGAGCGGCCCAGCTGTGCTGAAACTCTCAGCATGGGCTGCCAGGAATCTGCACTCACTGCTTTACCCCTCATCTCTCCGCTGCTGCTCTCCTCTCTGCACTCACTGCTTTACCCCTCATCTCTCCACTGCTGCTCTCCTCTCTGCACTCACTGCTTCACCTCCTTTGTTCCTTCCTCCCTCTTTCCCTCTCGCCCTCTCTCCCTCTTTCCCTCTCGCCCTCTCTCCCTCTCTCCCTCTCTCCCTCCCACCAGCAACACTAGTGGCTGACTTTACGCCTCATCTCTCCGCTGCTGCTCTCCTCTCTGCACTCACTACTGCCAAATCATCACTTCAGGTGCGTTTCCCTGCGTTCGTTAATTTCTTCTACTGCTTCAGGTGCTTCAGGTGATTTCCACTCTTCAGGTGATTTCAATGCCAGATGCTGACATTGCTTCAGGTGTTTAGCTGACAAAGCCACTCACTCTACCCACTAACATCTCACCCCACCACCAGCAGTGTTCCTGCCCTCCAACTTTCTCCTCGCCTCCGTTTCCTCTGACTAACAGATCCCCTCCCCACTTCATATTCCTGCCCACACTCATTCCTTCCGTCCAACATCCAAGGGCCTCAAAAAGTCTTCTCTTTGCACTAAACTCACTCACTTACTCACTCACTCGCTCACTCAATCACTCCCTCCTTGCCTCCCTGTGATACTAGCAGAAAAAACAAATCGGCACCACTGCCCCAGTGGAGCTGAACCTTCCCAGAAGGTTCTGGTGCTACCTGCTTGATCATGCTGTGAGTAACATTTTTACAATCTGCAAAACCTCCTACCTTTTTAAGAGTTCCCTTTTTTTTAAGAGTTCCCCTTTTTTTGTTTAGGATAGCCTTGTTAGTGTTGTTTAGAGGCTTCTTGAATGTGTAAATGTCTGGGCGCCTCAGCACTTTATTCCTGGGGTACCTCAAAGGCTACTTTTGAGGCGCCTCAAAAGTGGGCGCCTCAGCACTTGGTTTCTGGGGTGCCTCAAAGGCACCCCAACATGTGGTCCGTTCTTCTCCCCTCCCCTCCCCTCCCCTCGCCTCCTATTTCCTTCCCTCACTCTTCCCCCCTTTTTTCCTCCTCTCCCCCCCCCCCCCCCCCTCTGCTCCCCTTCACTCAACCTCCACAGGTAATCCATCCAGAGACCCTCTGGGCACACGTGTCAAAGGCCCATTTGAGGCGCCTCAATAATAGACTCCCCCGCCCCGCCTCGCCCCTCCCCTTCCCTTCACCTCTACAGGCAATCCATCCAGACAGCCTCTGGGCACAGGTGTCAAAAGAGTTTTCACTGACCGCCACCTTCGCCCTCCCCTCCTCTCCCCGCTTCCCTTCTCCTCCACTTAACCTCCACAGGCAGTCCATCCCGGCACCCTCTGGGCACACGTGTCAAAGGCCCATTTGAGGCGCCTCAATAATAGACTCCCCCGCCCCGACCCCTCCGCTCCCCTTCACTTAACCTTCACAGGCAATCCATCCAGACACCCTCTGGGCACACGTGTCAAAGGCCCATTTGCTCGCCCTTGCTGATGTCATCCACAAAGCTGAGCTGGCAGTGGCAGGGAAGGTGAGGAGAGGAGAATATCTAGTGAACTTTTGAGACTTGAGGCTGTGTATAAGTGAGGCAATTCTTGGGTTGGGTCGCTACAAAGCTGAGCTGGCAGTGGCAGGGAAGGTGAGGAGGGGAGAAGCTTGAGTGAGGTTTTGAGGCGCCTCACAAATAGACCTCAGGGATGCTCCTCATTCATCGTGTGAAAAAAGGGTGTTTTTGAGACGTCTCAATAGCGCGTCACAGATAGACCTCAGGGATGCACCCCATTCATCACGTTTGTCCCCATTATCTCAAACAAGAAATGTTAAAATAGCGAGAAAAAAAAAATCTCTCTCTATTTTAGTTCAGTTTTCTATGCATCAGTTCGGTGCTGTTCAGTCCAGTGAACATGGTTTTTTTGCTGCTGTGTGATTGCAGGAGCTAATCATTATTGCTTCATATTTGTTCCCACAATTTCCACTTCCTTCCCATTTATTCCTCCCACAAGTTCTTTCCACTCCTTTCCTCTCCTCTCCTCTCCTCTCCTCAACTCCTGCAGGGTCGGTTTAAGGATGAATTTGTGACTGCAGGTGGTGTCCCTCTAAAAGAGGTATGTTTTCTTCTCCCATTCCTGTCCCCAATTCCCGTCTCCCATTCCCCTCTCCCATTCCCCTCTAACCATTCCCCTCCCATTCCTCAGTCCCATTCCCCTCTCCCCCTCCTTCCTTCTTCTCTGCGTCACTCTCGTTCTTCTTCTCTGCTTCGTCAATCCCTTACTGATTTCTTCCCAATCTCTTTTTTGCGTTACTTTCATTAACCCTCTCTCCCCTTTCCACACCTCTTTCCCACATCACTCCCCCATTACCTCCCCCATCCCATGCCACACCGCAAGGTCAATCTCGCAACAATGGAGAGCCGGCTCCTTCCCAACCTCTACTTCGCAGGCGAGGTGAGTCCCTCTCTCTTTTCTCGTCCCTCTCCCCTTGCACTCCCCGCGACAATGGAGAGCCGGCTCCTTCCCAGCCTCTACTTCGCAGGCGAGGTGAGTCCCTCTCTCTTTTCTCGTCCCTCTTCCCTTGCACTCCCCGCGACAATGGAGAGCCAACTCCTTCCCAACCTCTACTTCGCAGGCGAAGTGAGTCCCTCTCTCTTTTCTTGTCCCTCTTCCCTTGCACTCCCCGCGACAATCGAGAGCCGGCTCCTTCCCAACCTCTACTTCGCAGGCGAGGTGAGTCCCTCTCTCTTTTCTCGTCCCTCTCCCCTTGCACTCCCCGCGACAATGGAGAGCCGGCTCCTTCCCAACCTCTACTTCGCAGGCGAGGTGAGTCCCTCTCTCTTTTCTCGTCCCTCTTCCCTTGCACTCCCCGCGACAATGGAGAGCCGGCTCCTTCCCAACCTCTACTTCGCAGGCGAGGTGATTCCCTCTCTCTTTTCTCGTCCCTCTTCCCTTGCACTCCCCGCGACAATGGAGAGCCGGCTCCTTCCCAACCTCTACTTCGCAGGCGAGGTGAGTCCCTCTCTCTTTTCTCGTCCCTCTTCCCTTGCAATCCCTGCGACAATGGAGAGCCGGCTCTTTCCCAACCTCTACTTCGCAGGCGAGGTGAGTCCCTCTCTCTTTTCTCGCCCCTCTTCCCTTGCACTCCCCGCGACAATGGAGAGCCGGCTCCTTCCCAACCTCTACTTCGCAGGCGAGGTGAGTCCCTCTCTCTTTTCTCGTCCCTCTTCCCTTGCAATCCCTGCGACAATGGAGAGCCGGCTCTTTCCCAACCTCTACTTCGCAGGCGAGGTGAGTCCCTCTCTCTTTTTTCGTCCCTCTTCCCTTGCACTCCCCGCGACAATGGAGAGCCGGCTCCTTCCCAACCTCTACTTCGCAGGCGAGGCGAGTCCCTCTCTCTTTTCTCGTCCCTCTTTCCTTGCACTCCCTGCGACAATGGAGAGCCGGCTCCTTCCCAACCTCTACTTCGCAGGCGAGGTGAGTCCCTCTCTCTTTTCTCGTCCCTCTTCCCTTGCTCTTCCCGCAACAACGGAGAGCCGGCTCCTTCCCAACCTCTACTTCGCAGGCGAGGTGAGTCCCTCTCTCTTTTCTCGTCCCTCTTCCCTTGCACTCCCCGCTGAGGAGATTCACTCTACAACGGTGGTGAGCTAGACTACGAGGTTGGCACGAACTACTAGGAGTGATGGTAGCTTTGCCTAGTTCCTTAGTGCTTGCACAATCATGGGAGAAATCGGCAAAAGTTTCCACTAGCAAAGTTAGGATTACAGAATTGTTGAACAAGGAATGACAACAATGACTACATCAGGCACCTAGCAATCCTGCAACTAGCCTGGTCGACAGACAGCACAGCATGGTCGACCGCCTACCAGCGTTGCGTAGAGGAGCTGTGCCAGCACTGCAGAAAGGCGACCTGCCAACACAGCAGGTCGACGATGTGCCAACGCTGCAGCAGAGTGGCTGTCCAGCGTTGCCCCGTAGAAGACAGCAGTGCGCACGCTCGCAGGTGCGCGCAGACGATTGGCCCGACTTGCACCGTTGTGCATCTGCGGCTGTTGTCTGCACCTGACGAGCCACATGGACTTCGGGATACCAACCCGAAGTCGCCTTCGCCATCGCGACCTCAACGATGTTCGCGTGCCTTCGCAGAACTCGTCGAGCAAATTACCCGATCGACCTGGACAACCCCAAGTGCCTCTGGTCGATCTCAGCTCCCGTCGAGCTACCCCCTGGTCGACGGACCCCTTCCGTCGACCAGAACTGTTAGCTGTTGTCGACGAGCTCCCCTTGTCGACTGCTGCTCACTTCTCAGGTTGACGGACTGCTCCGTCGACCTCTCGGTCGAACAGCCCCTCCTGGTCGACGGCCCATCCGTCGCCCAGACCAGTCAGTTGCAGCTGTCGAGCTCTCTGGTCGACAGCAACACCACAGCGCTCCCCTGCAGCTCGACGAAGCCTGTCGAGCAGCTCTCCCACTGCGGATGGTCGGCTGCTACTCCCGTACATCCGACCAAGTCGTCGGCGTTGCCCAAGCGAGGGCGGGGCCAACACTTCACTTCCGTTAAGACCCGCGACAATGGAGAGCCGGCTCCTTCCCAACCTCTACTTCGCAGGCGAGGTGAGTCCCTCTCTCTTTTCTCGTCCCTCTTCCCTTGCACTCCCCGCGACAATGGAGAGCCGGCTCCTTCCCAACCTCTACTTCGCAGGCGAGGTGAGTCCCTCTCTCTTTTCTCGTCCCTCTTCCCTTGCACTCCCTGCGACAATGGAGAGCCGGCTCCTTCCCAACCTCTACTTCGCAGGCGAGGTGAGTCCCTCTCTCTTTTCTCGTCCCTCTTCCCTTGCACTCCCCGCGACAATGGAGAGCCGGCTCCTTCCCAACCTCTACTTCGCAGGCGAGGTGAGTCCCTCTCTCTTTTCTCGTCCCTCTTCTCTTGCACTCCCCGCGACAATGGAGAGCCGGCTCCTTCCCAACCTCTACTTCGCAGGCGAGGTGAGTCCCTCTCTCTTTTCTCGTCCCTCTTCCCTTGCAATCCCTGCGACAATGGAGAGCCGGCTCTTTCCCAACCTCTACTTCGCAGGCGAGGTGAGTCCCTCTCTCTTTTCTCGTCCCTCTTCCCTTGCACTCCCCGCGACAATGGAGAGCCGGCTCCTTCCCAACCTCTACTTCGCAGGCGAGGCGAGTCCCTCTCTCTTTTCTCGCCCCTCTTTCCTTGCACTCCCTGCGACAATGGAGAGCCGGCTCCTTCCCAACCTCTACTTCGCAGGCGAGGTGAGTCCCTCTCTCTTTTCTCGTCCCTCTTCCCTTGCTCTCCCCGCAACAACGGAGAGCCGGCTCCTTCCCAACCTCTACTTCGCAGACGAGGTGAGTCCCTCTCTCTTTTCTCGTCCCTCTTCCCTTGCACTCCCCGCGACAATGGAGAGCCGGCTCCTTCCCAACCTCTACTTCGCAGGCGAGGTGAGTCCCTCTCTCTTTTCTCGTCCCTCTTCCCTTGCACTCCCCGCGACAATGGAGAGCCGGCTCCTTCCCAACCTCTACTTCGCAGGCGAGGTGAGTCCCTCTCTCTTTTCTCGTCCCTCTTCCCTTGCAATCCCTGCGACAATGGAGAGCCGGCTCTTTCCCAACCTCTACTTCGCAGGCAAGGTGAGTCCCTCTCTCTTTTCTCGTCCCTCTTCCCTTGCACTCCCCGCGACAATGGAGAGCCGGCTCCTTCCCAACCTCCTACTTAGCAGGCGAGGCGAGTCCCTCTCTCTTTTCTCGCCCCTCTTCCCTTGCACTCCCCGCGACAATGGAGAGCCGGTTCCTTCCCAACCTCTACTTCGCAGGCGAGGTGAGTCCCTCTCTCTTTTCTCGTCCCTCTTCCCTTGCACTCCCCGCGACAATGGAGAGACGGCTCCTTCCCAACCTCTTTTTTGCAGGCTAGGTGAGCTTTTCCTTCAGAGGTGAGCAGACAACCCAAACCCCCCCTTCTCACTCCCCGGGGGCGGTCTCTTCCGCCCCCCACCCGCCCCCCCTTTCCCTTAATGTTCCCCGCAACAATGGAGAGCCGTCTTGTTCCCAGCCTCATCTTCGGAGGCGAGGTGAGCTTTTCTTTAAGAGGTGGGCTATTCTTATGAACGGGTTTGCAATTTGTGTGGTTGTCACGGGTAGAGAAACGATTTTCGAGGCATTGCAAGCGATACCGGAAAAGGTTTTGGTACACCATGTCGGTGTTATGTTTTGCAGCATTTCAATGCTTGAACAAACGTTTGTTGTGTATAATTCGGTACGTACCAATGCAGATATTGGTTTTGCCTTTTTTCGTTTTGATGCTTGGAGAAAAAAATTCACTCTTCTTGATTTTCTACGTTGTGACACAGATACTGAACGTCGATGGAATCACAGGAGGCTTCAATTTCCAGGTAATGTGCTTGGCATTTGCATACGCAACTTAGCATGAGGTATCTGCATGCATGTGCGCATTGCACCATACATACATATATGCACTCTCATCCATGCATGCATGTAGATTTTGCCCTGTACACGGTTGCATGCATATGCATGTACCTGAGTGTGAATGCATTCAAACACATGGTTGCATGGTTACACACATGCACTATAAAAGTTTTGAATGTACCGGCTTTGTCCAAGCGGCCGTGATGTTTCCGCAATTATATGAATTTCCGCCAGAAATATCGTGCTGCTGTTTTTTTTTTTTTTTTTTTTTTTTTTTTCCATCGGGCCTTTTGTGTGTGTTCGCCTTTATATTTTATACTACCCTTTACAGAATGCGTGGACGGGAGGGTACATTGCAGGAACTGCTATAGCAACTGTAGCCAGCCGACTACACTCACCGTACCCTTAGAAACCAGGATGTCGCGGCGGCTCATAAGGTTATATAATACTGAATGGTCCGCTCTGATACTCAAATGGTTGAGTTTAACATTCGGAACTAAATTTGCAGTGGTGTAAGCATTCCGATTTCCAGGGGTTCAAATAAGTTTATTTAATATCGCTGGACTCAAGTTAGCAGGCAATTTTCAGGATGGGGCTTGGAGATAATTCATTTGGCAAGTTAGCAAAGATTAATGGCAAGCTTAACAGTATCTGCATTCTAGGTAGTCTCCCATTTCCACTCCGCTTTTCCCCTTTCAAACACTCCTCCCATCCGCCAATTTACAGCAATCCCATGTTGAGAGGTTCGAATCGCGTGTGGTTCGATTTCCCTGTCCACCCTCTTCTCTCTGTTGGGCAGGCAGGCCCCGAAAGACCCCATAACGCAACCAAAATGCACACCACAACACACGACATCTTGCTGTTGCTCAGGTTTTGATGGTTAAAGCCGACGGCCCAAATTGTTCATGCTTTTAAAAGTTGACCAGAGGGAGTTTTTCTGGTATAGGCTTTGGCGAGAGTTCGCGATTTCGTCTAGGTTCGTTTTTTTCGCGAGACCCAGCCAACCCTCGGTTTTCCCCCTGGTGAGTGAATCTGTCTTCGAAAGTCCCAAATTGCAGGTGCGTGACTTTCAAAAGCTTGGACACTCAACTTCGTCAAGTTTTAAAAACTTGACTCTCGCGGTCCGCAATTTGGGACACGGGCTTTAAGTTGGGATTGTTCATTTTGGGCTCTTCTGCCTACAAGCACATGTCACCCTTGGTTCCATCTGCTGCGCGCGGGTCAGCCACACTTTAATATCACTATGCGCGCGGGCCTGGGCTCCAACCGCAACAGCCCAACACGCGCCAGCTAGTACCTCCTCGAGCCGCAACAAGCGAGAATCGAACAAGGGTCCAGTTTTTCCTTCTTCAGGCTTCTGGCTGCAACCAGGAGGGACGAACAAAGGCCAATCGGCTGGATTCTGTTCAGGTGCCTTCCTAATAGCAGGCAGAACATGCCGCGAGCAACAAATGTCCGTTCGTACATAAATCTCAATGCAATGACCGCTTGCGAGCAGTCTCACGAGTTTCGCCGGACGTAGTAGTACCCAGCGACTGGCACGATGACGAGAAGCCTGTCCCTCCGCGTGCCTCTTCTCCAGGTCCTCCTAGCGCTAGCCGCCGTCCTCGAGATTACCTCGCCTGCAAGAGCAGTGGCAGTATTTGGCAAAACCAGCAGGCGCCCATCACCCCCCGACTTATGGCCTCCGTATGAAATCCTAGGAACTTGCACGCACACAGGTAAGACATACTGCAGGATATCACTCGTCTTGTTGTCTTTTTTTCTTCGTTCCTTGTATTGTTCTTTCTTCCTCCTTTCTATAGCTCTATTGGTTATATGGGTGATTGAGTAACGTTCGGACCTTGCTGTGGGCGCTTCCGTGATGCCGCTTCGCAGGTGCGATCAACACAACCATTTCACCAGATTTCGTCGGGACGACGTGGCGAGGATGGGGCACTTCGCTCGCGTGGTTCGCGAACTACGTCGGTGGCTTGCCGCAACAGGAGCTGACCACAATTCTAGACCTCCTCTTCGATCCCGATTCTGGCTTGGGTCTAAACATCGTACGTTACAACATCGGAGGGGGGCATAATAAGAAACTCAGTCCTCAGTTTCAAGACTTCAGTCAGGATTCGTATTGGCGGGGAGTGCCGGGTTTCAAGCCGACGAAGGACGGGCCGTACGATTGGAGCGCGGACGAACGGCAGCGGAACGTGCTGATGGGAGCGAAGGAGAGAGGAGCGAATGTCTTCGAGGCGTTTTCGAACAGCCCGCCCTGGTGGATGACGTTTACAGGCGACGTGGCGGGCTCGAACAGGCGAAGGACGACGAATCTGCGACCCGAGTACGAGGGCACTTTCGCAGACTACCTGACGACCGTCGTGGCTGAGTTCGCGAAAAGATGGGGGGTAACATTCGAATCGTTGGAGCCGTTTAACGAGGCGTTGGAAGGGTTTTGGGTGAAGGGGATGGACCACGAAGGCTGCTCCCTTAAAGCTCGCGTCTCCAATTTCCAAGCGTTTAATACTTGGTTGGGTTTGCAGGGATGGGATTGGGTGACGAACGACGAAATTTGTGACGAGAATGTGAAACAAATAAAGCGAACTCCAAAACAGCCGAGGCCAAGACAAACCAAGGTGGTCAGGTTTGGAATGTGGACGAGCCTAAGGGGACAGGGTTCGCCCAGATCAAGCCCTGAACGACCCACCTCGACGACTACAGCACGTCGCACGAAAACAAAACTGAAGTGTCTCAAACAGAGTGCAAACTCAACCAATTCTAGGGTCCCGTCACTGAGCACCTTCCCAACCGCCACAGAAACAAGGTATGCATTCGAGAGCACGCTATTATTAGGGACGGGCAGAGATAGGTTAGGGATAGGCGAGGTAAGAGTAAGGATGGGCGGAATGAGGGGCGAAAGAGCGGAATGCGATAAGTAATTGCGATATGAGAGCGTCAAGTGCGGAACGAAAATATAAAGGGCGAAATGAGATGACGACGGCGGAACGCGAGTCAGAGAGGCGGAATGGTCCCGCATGACGGGCGGACATATGTGTATACGGGTTGAATGGGAAGAAAAAGGGAGGAAAGGGAGGATGAAGGGCGGAATGACAATAGGGAGCGCGAAACCGTCGTAGCAACGGCGGAATGAGAGTAGGAACGGCGGAATGAGAAAAGGGACGGCGAAAAAAGAGAAGGGCTTAGTGGAATGAGAGTAGGACCGGTGTAACTAGAGGGTGAATGGCAGAAAAAGACCTTGAACGGCTAGAACCAGTAGATGAACGGCGAAATGAGATGATGAATGGCGGATTATAGTAGGGATGTGCGGAAGGAGTGGATGAATGGCGGCATGGGAGAAGGGATGTGCAGTGTGAACTCGGAATGACGGGCGGAAAGGCGATAGAGGGCGGAATGACGGGCGGAAAGGCGATAGAGGGCGGAATGACGGGCGGAAAGGCGATAGAGGGCGGAATGACGGGCGGAAAGGCGATAGAGGGCGGAATGACGGGCGGAAAGGCGATAGAGGGCGGAATGACGGGCGGAAACGCGATAGAGGGCGGAATGACGGGCGGAAAGGCGATAGAGGGCGGAATGACGGGCGGAAAGGCGATAGAGGGCGGAATGACGGGCGGAAAGGCGATAGAGGGCGGAATGACGGGCGGAAAGGCGATAGAGGGCGGAATGGGAGGGGGAGATGGTGGAAGAGGGCGGAATGACGGGTGAAATGGCGTCATAGTGCGGAATGGGAAGCGGAGTGGCGAGAGAGGGAGGTTTTGCTGGGCTGAAAGGCAGCCCTTGGAAGTAGGCGAGTCGGGATGACATGCGAGGGCAGAAAGGGAGGGGGAAAGGCGGTAGCGGGCGGAATGGGAGGCGGCATGGGAGGCGGACAGGCGGTAGAGGGCGGAATGGGGGGGTGGAATGGCGATAGAGGGCGGAATGGGAGGGGGAAAGGCGGTATAGACCAGAATGAGATGCAAAATGGCGGGTCCGGGAGGAATGAGATGGCTTTACATGTAAGGTTGGGCGAGGCGGAAAGGCATACTGAAATCGAGAACGAAAAACACGTTACGACAGAATGGGAGGCGGAAAGGCGGTAGATGGCGGAATGGGAGGAGGTTTTGTGAGGCGGCGCGAGAGGGGTATAGGGTAGGAGAAGACCACGGAACGAGCTGTTGTCCAATAACGGGGACGGACGTTGCGCTCATGTGGGAAGAGATATATTGCTGTAAGGGGAAAGGAGGAGTGGTGAGTGGGGGAATGGAGGTGGTGCTATAGGGGGAATGGAGGTGAGGAAAGGAACGGAGGTGAGGTGAGAGGGGGGAGGGTTGTAAGGTCGGGGGGGAAAAGGAGGTGAGGTCAGAGGGGGGAGGGATGTCAGGACGGGGGGGGGGAGGGAGGTTATGCTATAGGGGGAAGGGAGGTGAGTTCAGTGGGGGAAGGGAGGTGAGGTCAGATGGGGAAGGGAGGTGAGGTCAGATGGGGAATGGAGGTAAGGTCAGAGGGGGAAGGGAGGTTATGCCATAAGGGGGAGGGAGGGTGGTTCCGTGGGGGAAGGGAGGTGATGTCAGAGGGGGGAGGGCTGTAAGGTCAGGGGGGGAAGGGACGTGAGGTCAGATGGGAAAGGGAGGTGGGGTCAGAGGGGGGATGGAGGTAACGTCAGAGGGGGGAGGGATGTGAGATCAGAGGGGGGAGGGATGTGAGGTCAGAGGCAGGAGGTAGGTAAGGTCAGAGGTGGGAGGGAGGCAAGGTCAGATTGGGGAGTGATGTGAGGCCAGAGGGGGGAATGGAAGGTGAGGGCAGAGGGTGGAGGGAGGTGAGGTCAGATGGGGGAGGGAGGTATGGTCAGTGGGTGGAGGGAGGTAAGGTCAGAGGGGGGAAGGAGGTAAGGTCAGAGGGGGGAGGGAGGTAAGGTCAGAGGGGGGAGGGAGGTGAGGTCAGTGGGGGGAAGGAGGTAAGGTCAGATGGGGGAGGGAGGTAAGGTCAGAGGGGGGAGGGAGGTGAGGTCAGTGGGGGGAAGGAGGTGAGGTCAGAGGGGGGAGGGAGGTAAGGTCAGAGGGGGGAGGGAGGTGAGGTCAGTGGGGGGAAGGAGGTGAGGTCAGAGGGGGGAGGGAGGTAAGGTCAGAGGGGGGAGGGAGGTAAGGTCAGAGGGGGGAAGGAGGTAAGGTCAGAGGGGGGAGGGAGGTGAGGACAGAGGGGGGAGGGAGGTGAGGTCAGTGGGGGGAAGGGAGGTAAGGTCAGATGGGGGAGGGAGGTGAGGTCAGAGGGGGGAGGGAGGTATACGTTTGTGTAGGGAAGGAGGTAAGGACAGATGGTGTAGGGAGGTAAAGTCAGATGGGGGAGGGAGGTAAGGTCAGTGGGGGAGGGAGGTAAGGTCAGTGGGGGGAAGGAGGTTAGGTCAGATGGGGGAGGGAGGTAAGGTCAGTGGGGGAGGGAGGTAAGGTCAGTGGGGGGAAGGAGGTTAGGTCAGATGGGGGAGGGAGGTAAGGTAGGATGGGGGAGGGTCGTAAGGTCAGATGGGGGAGGGAGGAGAGGTCAGATGGGGGAGGGAGGTAAGGTCAGTGGGGGGAAGGAGGTAAGGTCAGATGGGGGAGGGAGGTAAGGTCGAATGGGGGAGGGAGGTAAGGTCAGTGGGGGGAAGGAGGTTAGGTCAGATGGGGGAGGGAGGTAAGGTCAGATGGGGGAGGGAGGTGAGGTCGAATGGGGGAAGGAGGTTAGGTCAGTTGGGGGAGGGAGGTAAGGTAGGATGGGGGAGGGAGGTGAGGCCAGATGGGGGAGGGAGGTAAGGTCAGTGGGGGGAAGGAGGTAAGGTCAGATGGGGGAGGGAGGTAAGGTCAGCGCGGGGAAGGAGGTTAGGTCAGTACGGGGGAGGGAGGTAAAGCAGGATGGGGGAGGGAGGTAAGGTCAGATGGGGGAGGGAGGTAAGGTCAGATGGGGGAGGGAGGTAAGGTCAGTGGGGGGAGAGAGGTAAGGTCAGATGGGGGAGAGAGGTTAGGTCAGATGGGGGAGGGAGGTGAGGTCAGATGGGGGAGGGAGGTAAGGTCAGTGGGGGGAAGGAGGTTAGGTCAGATGGGGGAGGGAGGTAAGGTAGGATGGGGGAGGGTCGTAAGGTCAGATGGGGGAGGGAGGAGAGGTCAGATGGGGGAGGGAGGTAAGGTCAGTGGGGGGAGAGAGGTAAGGTCAGTAGGACCTTACCCCCGTCCCCCAATCTCCCATCCCGCCATCCTCTTCGATCACCTCCCTTCCCCGCTCTCTTCCCAACATAACGCCCAGTCATACCTACCTCTGCCCCGTCCTATGTCCTCGTCTCCAGGTCCAAGGAAGATGTATCGGTGGGATTCTCGACGGCGTCGTCGGATCCGGCTGGGGTTCAGGATGGGAGTTGAAGGAGAGGAGGATGACGAGGAGGGTATGGAGGGACAGGCGGGATCAACCTCTTCCGTCCCATCCCGAACCGCAAGGAACAACAATGGTGTACCTGGTCGCTCGGTAGTTGCCAGCAGTTGGCGGCCCGTTGAAAGGGTGACCCGACGTAGGGTTGTACAGCCAACTGGGTTGCCGCCACAGCTTTTTTATCCTAAGGAACGTTGGTCCCTGTCTGAGTTTGCCATCGAATGTCCAAAGCAAAGCTCTGTGCTTGAACAGTGGGCCATAAACGAGCTCGGTCTGGGGCAGGAAAGTGGTGATACGGACGAGAGGGTTACTGTTGAGAGTGTCCTGCATATCTGTCTTGGAAAGAACACGCTGGAGGATGCAGATGGGCAACCAATAGTAGCAAAAAACCACCGTTTCCGTTGCTACGTCGAGTACTCCAAACTATTAGGAGACCACCCGTTTGCACACGTTACATTGCCATGGCTTGTGTACGTAGTCATAGGGTCACTTTACCCAGAGCTTTCAGATGAAGGTTACGTGGGGTGTAGCCAGGCAGATGTAGACTGGTTCACGTCTTGGACAATCCCTAGTGAGATTGACTTCACCATGCGCAGCCCCCCGGTGGGCGCGGATGTAGCGAACATGGTCGAGACACAAGAGTCGCGTGTTGTGTGAATATGCATGTTGTAATCCTTGTGTGAGTAAATGCTAGCCATCACGTTTGCTAGTGTGTATGCCACTAAATTGTAGCAAAGTTTGCTCTTCGAAGGAGCAAAGAACATGTATCACTACATCATTACACCTAAACCAGTCAACCCATGCTTGATGTGATGCAGGGTACCACCATGGGGACACTTAGACATACGCAGCTCTCTGCAATTCTCTCCCCCTTGATAAGTAGCGCCGTGCGTCGCACTCTCCCCAAACATGTTTACTGTAGCAGCACGAAGCCACATGACAAAGTTGGTTCCACGTGTAATTAAAACTAGCTTAGCAACTGTTTTGCGTGGTTGTAACACTATAACCGTACATGGGTCCGTATTTCGCCAGCGCCCTCTCTCCTACCACACTTTCACCAACGCCGTTCTCTGCTCCCTCTGCTCAGTTGCCGCCAACGCTGCGAGAGGTGATGGCGGGGGGAAAGGGGGGAGATGGTGCTGCAAAGTCTCTCCCTTGTTCTTGGATCGCCTGCCATTACGATCACATGTCCATTACATATGCTGGTGTATGGCTTTTGTGCTACACGCAACCTCACACAACCCGTACCACTCACCTTGGTGCCATTACGACACGATGCGCAAATGTCCGTCAGTCGAAAGCCACCAGTCGGAATGGCGTTGTGGTGAAAGGCCTGATGGGATGGTGACGGGTTGCAGAGGCACAATAAAAGGACATGCGCGTTAGGTTGTGCCGTTACTCACGACAGATGTCACCGCCCCTAGAAGTACCCAGTCACCACCCAAATCCCACCTCGGACTATACACCCATAACCACCAATTTACCTCCTATCATGTCACCACTTTCCCCCCAGCCTAAACCTCCCTTCCCGCCTCGGTTCCCCCTCACCGGCCTTCCCCCCTCGGTCACCGCCTAACTCCTCCCGGCCAGCCACTCCCTTCCCCCTCTCACATCACCGCCCTTCCCCCTCTCACAGAACCTCCCTCACCCCTCTCACCTCACCTCCCTTCCCCCTCCCTAGGCACCTTTCTTCCCCCTCTCCCATCGTTGCATTCCCCCCAGTCAGAACCTCGCTTCCCCTCTCCGACACCGCCTATGTCTCGGAGGTCAGCACCCCCCTCCCCCATCTATCAGCACCTCTCGTTCCCCTCTATCAGCACCTCGTTCCCCTCTATCAGCACCTCTAGTTCCCCTCTATCAGCACCTCTCGTTCCCCTCTATCAGCACCTCACTTACCCCTCTCTCAGCACCTCCACTCCGACACTCACTGCACTACCATCCCCCCTCTGTCCTCTCAACCTTCCCCCTGTCACTGTACCTCCCTTCTCCCTCTGTCCTCACCTCCCTTCCCACTATGACAGTACCTCGCTTCCCCCTCTCTAAGCACATCTCATCCCCATCTCACATCGTTGCACCGCCCCAGCCCGCATTTCACATCGTTGCATTGCCCCAGCCAGCACCACCCTTCCCACCCCCAGACCCCCCTCCCTAAGCACCTCTGTTCCCCTCTCACATCACCTCTTCCCCCCCTGCCAGCGTCACCACTAACCCTCTACCCCGCGTGCCTCAACTCCTTTCCTCTTTATTCGTGCACTTATCTTGCCCCTCTGACCGCACCGCACCCCCCTTCCAACTCACCCATCACCTCCTAACCCACTGCCCGCACCCTCTTTTCCCTCTCCACGCACCTTCATTCCCCCCTTTTGACCTCACCTTCCTTTTCCCCTCCCCTGTTTGCCTACATTCCCCATATGAAATCAAGTCCTTTCCCCCTCCCTATGCACTTAAATCTCCCCTCTCAAATCACCTCTTTCCCCCTCTGACAGCACCTCTTGCCCCCCTCCCAACACCTTCTCTCCCGTCTCTCAGCACCTCCCTTCCCCCCTCTGAACTCACCTTCATTTCCCCCTACCCTCACATCCCATCCCCCCTCTGACCTCACCACCCTTCCCCCTTCCTCACCTATCTTCCACCACTCACCTCCCCTCCCTCCACCCTCTCACCTCATGTCCCTCCCCCCTCCATCATCACGTATCTTCACCCTACCTGCTCACCTACCTCCCCTTCTGACAGCACCTCCCTCCCATAGGGAAAATTAGGGGTAACAAAGGGTGAAATGAGAGGGACTCCAGGGGAAAATGATGGGACACTAGGGGGGGGATGAGAGGGAGCAGTGGAAAATAAGAATGGGATATTATTCCCCCCAATGGGGGAATGGTTTGGGAGGAGCGGGAACGGGTCCAGGCGCGGGAAAGGGATAGGGGAGTGAGGAGGTGGGTACGGAGACAGGAAGGATGGAGAGCATTCGTGCGTATGCCTCACCACAAGTTCACACCCGGTGCTATCGCTAAGCACCTTCCCTCCCCCCTCTCACAGGACCTCTGTCCTCTCCTCCTTCCCCCTCTCAGTGCACCTTCTCCCCACCTCTGTCCTCTCCTCCCTTCCCCCTCTCACAGCTCCTACCTTCCCCCACCCACAGCATCTCCCTTCCCCCACCCACAGCATCTCCCTTCCCCCTCTCACAGCTCCTCCCTTCCCCCTCTCACAGCTCCTCCCTTCCCCCACCCACATCATCTCCCTTCCCCCTATCACAGCTCCTCCCTTCCCCCTCTCACATCTCCTACCTTCCCCCACCCACAGCATCTCCCTTCCCCCTATCACAGCTCCTCCCTTCCCCCTATCACAGCTCCTCCCTTCCCCCTCTCACAGCTCATACCTTCCCCCACCCACAGCATCTCCCTTCCCCCTATCACAGCTCCTCCCTTCCCCCTCTCACAGCTCCTCCCTTCCCCCACCCACATCATCTCCCTTCCCCCTATCACAGCTCCTCCCTTCCCCCTCTCACAGCTCCTCCCTTCCCCCTCTCACAGCTCATACCTTCCCCCACCCACAGCATCTCCCTTCCCCCTATCACAGCTCCTCCCTTCCCCCTCTCACAGCTCCTCCCTTCCCCCACCCACATCATCTCCCTTCCCCCTCTCACAGCTCCTCCCTTCCCCCTCTCACAGCTCCTACCTTCCCCCACCCACAGCATCTCCCTTCCCCCACCCACAGCATCTCCCTTCCCCCTATCACAGCTCCTACCTTCCCCCTCTCACAGCTCCTCCCTTCCCCCACCCACATCATCTCCCTTCCCCCTATCACAGCTCCTCCCTTCCCCCTCTCACAGCTCCTCCCTTCCCCCTCTCACAGCTCATACCTTCCCCCACCCACAGCATCTCCCTTCCCCCTATCACAGCTCCTCCCTTCCCCCTCTCACAGCTCCTCCCTTCCCCCACCCACATCATCTCCCTTCCCCCTATCACAGCTCCTCCCTTCCCCCTCTCACAGCTCCTCCCTTCCCCCTCTCACAGCTCATACCTTCCCCCACCCACAGCATCTCCCTTCCCCCTATCACAGCTCCTCCCTTCCCCCTCTCACAGCTCCTCCCTTCCCCCACCCACATCATCTCCCTTCCCCCTCTCACAGCTCCTCCCTTCCCCCTCTCACAGCTCCTACCTTCCCCCACCCACAGCATCTCCCTTCCCCCACCCACAACATCTCCCTTCCCCCTATCACAGCTCCTACCTTCCCCCTCTCACAGCTCCTCCCTTCCCCCACCCACATCATCTCCCTTCCCCCTATCACAGCTCCTCCCTTCCCCCTCTCACAGCTCCTCCCTTCCCCCACCCACAGCATCTCCCTTCCCCCACCCACAGCATCTCCCTTCCCCCTCTCACAGCTCCTCCCTTCCCCATCTCACAGCATCTCCCTTCCCCCACCCACAGCATCTCCCTTCCCCCTATCACAGCTCCTCCCTTCCCCCTCTCACAGCTCCTCCCTTCCCCCACCCACAGCATCTCCCTTCCCCCTCTCACAGCTCCTCCCTTCCCCCACCCACATCATCTCCCTTCCCCCTCTCACAGCTCCTCCCTTCCCCCTCTCACAGCTCCTACCTTCCCCCACCCACAGCATCTCCCTTCCCCCACCCACAGCATCTCCCTTCCCCCTATCACAGCTCCTACCTTCCCCCTCTCACAGCTCCTCCCTTCCCCCACCCACATCATCTCCCTTCCCCCTATCACAGCTCCTCCCTTCCCCCTCTCACAGCTCCTCCCTTCCCCCACCCACAGCATCTCCCTTCCCCCACCCACAGCATCTCCCTTCCCCCTCTCACAGCTCCTCCCTTCCCCATCTCACAGCATCTCCCTTCCCCCACCCACAGCATCTCCCTTCCCCCTCTCACAGCTCCTCCCTTCCCCCTCTCACAGCTCCTCCCTTCCCCCACCCACATCATCTCCCTTCCCCCTATCACAGCTCCTCCCTTCCCCCTCTCACAGCTCCTCCCTTCCCCCACCCACAGCATCTCCCTTCCCCCACCCACAGCATCTCCCTTCCCCCTCTCACAGCTCCTCCCTTCCCCATCTCACAGCATCTCCCTTCCCCCACCCACAGCATCTCCCTTCCCCCTATCACAGCTCCTCCCTTCCCCCTCTCACAGCTCCTCCCTTCCCCCACCCACAGCATCTCCCTTCCCCCTCTCACAGCTCCTCCCTTCCCCCACCCACATCATCTCCCTTCCCCCTCTCACAGCTCCTCCCTTCCCCCTCTCACAGCTCCTACCTTCCCCCACCCACAGCATCTCCCTTCCCCCACCCACAGCATCTCCCTTCCCCCTATCACAGCTCCTACCTTCCCCCTCTCACAGCTCCTCCCTTCCCCCACCCACATCATCTCCCTTCCCCCTATCACAGCTCCTCCCTTCCCCCTCTCACAGCTCCTCCCTTCCCCCACCCACAGCATCTCCCTTCCCCCACCCACAGCATCTCCCTTCCCCCTCTCACAGCTCCTCCCTTCCCCATCTCACAGCATCTCCCTTCCCCCACCCACAGCATCTCCCTTCCCCCTCTCACAGCTCCTCCCTTCCCCCTCTCACAGCTCCTCCCTTCCCCCACCCACATCATCTCCCTTCCCCCTATCACAGCTCCTCCCTTCCCCCTCTCACAGCTCCTCCCTTCCCCCACCCACAGCATCTCCCTTCCCCCACCCACAGCATCTCCCTTCCCCCTCTCACAGCTCCTCCCTTCCCCATCTCACAGCATCTCCCTTCCCCCACCCACAGCATCTCCCTTCCCCCTATCACAGCTCCTCCCTTCCCCCTCTCACAGCTCCTCCCTTCCCCCACCCACAGCATCTCCCTTCCCCCTCTCACAGCTCCTCCCTTCCCCCACCCACATCATCTCCCTTCCCCCTCTCACAGCTCCTCCCTTCCCCCTCTCACAGCTCCTACCTTCCCCCACCCACAGCATCTCCCTTCCCCCACCCACAGCATCTCCCTTCCCCCTATCACAGCTCCTACCTTCCCCCTCTCACAGCTCCTCCCTTCCCCCACCCACATCATCTCCCTTCCCCCTATCACAGCTCCTCCCTTCCCCCTCTCACAGCTCCTCCCTTCCCCCACCCACAGCATCTCCCTTCCCCCACCCACAGCATCTCCCTTCCCCCTCTCACAGCTCCTCCCTTCCCCATCTCACAGCATCTCCCTTCCCCCACCCACAGCATCTCCCTTCCCCCTCTCACAGCTCCTCCCTTCCCCCTCTCACAGCTCCTCCCTTCCCCCACCCACATCATCTCCCTTCCCCCTATCACAGCTCCTCCCTTCCCCCTCTCACAGCTCCTCCCTTCCCCCACCCACAGCATCTCCCTTCCCCCACCCACAGCATCTCCCTTCCCCCTCTCACAGCTCCTCCCTTCCCCATCTCACAGCATCTCCCTTCCCCCACCCACAGCATCTCCCTTCCCCCTATCACAGCTCCTCCCTTCCCCCTCTCACAGCTCCTCCCTTCCCCCACCCACAGCATCTCCCTTCCCCCTCTCACAGCTCCTCCCTTCCCCCACCCACATCATCTCCCTTCCCCCTCTCACAGCTCCTCCCTTCCCCCTCTCACAGCTCCTACCTTCCCCCACCCACAGCATCTCCCTTCCCCCACCCACAGCATCTCCCTTCCCCCTATCACAGCTCCTACCTTCCCCCTCTCACAGCTCCTCCCTTCCCCCACCCACATCATCTCCCTTCCCCCTATCACAGCTCCTCCCTTCCCCCTCTCACAGCTCCTCCCTTCCCCCACCCACAGCATCTCCCTTCCCCCACCCACAGCATCTCCCTTCCCCCTCTCACAGCTCCTCCCTTCCCCATCTCACAGCATCTCCCTTCCCCCACCCACAGCATCTCCCTTCCCCCTATCACAGCTCCTCCCTTCCCCCTCTCACAGCTCCTCCCTTCCCCCACCCACAGCATCTCCCTTCCCCCACCCACAGCATCTCCCATCCCCCTCTCACAGCTCCTCCCTTCCCCCTCTCACAGCTCCTCCCTTCCCCCACCCACATCATCTCCCTTCCCCCTATCACAGCTCCTCCCTTCCCCCTCTCACAGCTCCTCCCTTCCCCCACCCACAGCATCTCCCTTCCCCCACCCACAGCATCTCCCTTCCCCCTCTCACAGCTCCTCCCTTCCCCATCTCACAGCATCTCCCTTCCCCCACCCACAGCATCTCCCTTCCCCCTATCACAGCTCCTCCCTTCCCCCTCTCACAGCTCCTCCCTTCCCCCACCCACAGCATCTCCCTTCCCCCACCCACAGCATCTCCCTTCCCCCTCTCACAGCTCCTCCCTTCCCCATCTCACAGCATCTCCCTTCCCCCACCCACAGCATCTCCCTTCCCCCTATCACAGCTCCTCCCTTCCCCCTCTCACAGCTCCTCCCTTCCCCCACCCACAGCATCTCCCTTCCCCCTCTCACAGCATCTCCCTTCCCCCACCCACAGCATCTCCCTTCCCCCTCTCACAGCTCCTCCCTTCCCCCTCTCACAGCTCCTCCCTTCCCCCACCCACATCATCTCCCTTCCCCCTATCACAGCTCCTCCCTTCCCCCTCTCACATCTCCTACCTTCCCCCACCCACAGCATCTCCCTTCCCCCTATCACAGCTCCTCCCTTCCCCCTATCACAGCTCCTCCCTTCCCCCTCTCACAGCTCATACCTTCCCCCACCCACAGCATCTCCCTTCCCCCTATCACAGCTCCTCCCTTCCCCCTCTCACAGCTCCTCCCTTCCCCCACCCACATCATCTCCCTTCCCCCTATCACAGCTCCTCCCTTCCCCCTCTCACAGCTCCTCCCTTCCCCCTCTCACAGCTCATACCTTCCCCCACCCACAGCATCTCCCTTCCCCCTATCACAGCTCCTCCCTTCCCCCTCTCACAGCTCCTCCCTTCCCCCACCCACATCATCTCCCTTCCCCCTCTCACAGCTCCTCCCTTCCCCCTCTCACAGCTCCTACCTTCCCCCACCCACAGCATCTCCCTTCCCCCACCCACAGCATCTCCCTTCCCCCTATCACATCTCCTACCTTCCCCCTCTCACAGCTCCTCCCTTCCCCCACCCACATCATCTCCCTTCCCCCTATCACAGCTCCTCCCTTCCCCCTCTCACAGCTCCTCCCTTCCCCCACCCACAGCATCTCCCTTCCCCCACCCACAGCATCTCCCTTCCCCCTCTCACAGCTCCTCCCTTCCCCATCTCACAGCATCTCCCTTCCCCCACCCACAGCATCTCCCTTCCCCCTATCACAGCTCCTCCCTTCCCCCTCTCACAGCTCCTCCCTTCCCCCACCCACAGCATCTCCCTTCCCCCTCTCACAGCTCCTCCCTTCCCCCACCCACATCATCTCCCTTCCCCCTCTCACAGCTCCTCCCTTCCCCCTCTCACAGCTCCTACCTTCCCCCACCCACAGCATCTCCCTTCCCCCACCCACAGCATCTCCCTTCCCCCTATCACAGCTCCTACCTTCCCCCTCTCACAGCTCCTCCCTTCCCCCACCCACATCATCTCCCTTCCCCCTATCACAGCTCCTCCCTTCCCCCTCTCACAGCTCCTCCCTTCCCCCACCCACAGCATCTCCCTTCCCCCACCCACAGCATCTCCCTTCCCCCTCTCACAGCTCCTCCCTTCCCCATCTCACAGCATCTCCCTTCCCCCACCCACAGCATCTCCCTTCCCCCTATCACAGCTCCTCCCTTCCCCCTCTCACAGCTCCTCCCTTCCCCCACCCACATCATCTCCCTTCCCCCTATCACAGCTCCTCCCTTCCCCCTCTCACAGCTCCTACCTTCCCCCACCCACAGCATCTCCCTTCCCCCACCCACAGCATCTCCCTTCCCCCTCTCACAGCTCCTCCCTTCCCCCTCTCACAGCTCCTCCCTTCCCCCACCCACATCATCTCCCTTCCCCCTATCACAGCTCCTCCCTTCCCCCTCTCACAGCTCCTCCCTTCCCCCACCCACAGCATCTCCCTTCCCCCACCCACAGCATCTCCCTTCCCCCTCTCACAGCTCCTCCCTTCCCCATCTCACAGCATCTCCCTTCCCCCACCCACAGCATCTCCCTTCCCCCTATCACAGCTCCTCCCTTCCCCCTCTCACAGCTCCTCCCTTCCCCCACCCACATCATCTCCCTTCCCCCTATCACAGCTCCTCCCTTCCCCCTCTCACAGCTCCTACCTTCCCCCACCCACAGCATCTCCCTTCCCCCACCCACAGCATCTCCCTTCCCCCTCTCACAGCTCCTCCCTTCCCCCTCTCACAGCTCCTCCCTTCCCCCACCCACATCATCTCCCTTCCCCCTCTCACAGCTCCTCACTTCCCACACACAGCATCTCCATTCCCCATATCACAGATCGTCCCTTCCCCCTCTCACAGCTCCTCCCTTCCCCCACCCACAGCAGCTCCCTTCCCCCTCTCGCACCTCCTACCTTCCCCCTCTCGCTGCTCCTCCCTTCCCCGTTCCGCCTCTCATTCCGCATCTCAAGCCGCCTCTCCTTCCGCCTCTCATTCCGCCCCTCCTTCCGCATCTCACTCCGCCTCTCGCGTCGCCTCTCATTCCGGGTTTCTTTCCGCCCCTCATTACGCCTCTCATTACGCCTCTCATTACGCCTATCTATTCGCCTCATCCCGCCTCTCAATCCGCCTCTCATCCCGCCTCTCACGCCGCCTCTCGTTCCGCCTCTCGTTCCGCCTCTCATTCCGCCTCTCGTTCCGCCTCTTTTTCCGCCTCTCATTCCGCCTCACATTCCGCCTCTTATTCCGCCTATAATTCCGCCCCTGCTTCCGCACTTCACACCGCCTCTCAGTGCGTCTCTCATTCCGCCGCTCATTCCGCCTCTCACGCCAAGTCTAATTCTGCCTCTCATTGCGCCTCTCCTTACTCCGTATTTAGCTTCGCCCCCCGTTACGCCGCTCAAAACGCCTCTCATTAGGCCGTGTAAGGCCACTTATTACACTACAGCCGTTCACTTAGTGCTCGTAAGGGCCTCGTACTGCGCGGGCCTACGATGTCGACGCGATTCTAGGGGCCCACATTTCTGGCGGGGTAATCTCCCGCAAATTGATTAGGCTCACCTAATCAAGGGTCGGGCGTTTGGGCGATGAAAGCCGGTTCGGGGCAGCGCGGCGTGGGCTGTGGATTGTCTAGGGATAGAGATGGCGGTCTATAGTCTATGACAGGTCGCGTTTTTGTCGAATGCGAATGAGATTGTAGCAGTGTAGGTCGTGATGGGCATACGAAGTGTGGGGCATCGAGGTTTTGGGTGAGGCTTTCTAACCACTTTGCGTTCGTCGTGCTCCAGTCGGGGACATGTGTCCAGGGAGGTAAAACACTTGGTGCAGAGTGCCTTTTGAGATATTGACGAGTTCCCAGTCTCATATTTCTAAGCTGTGTAAAACGCTTGGTTTGCAGGGACGAGAGGGCGACGGTCCCGTTGTCGCACGATGAGCGCATTCTCAGCTTTGTTTGTCGCGCAGGTGAGTTTGCCAACCCAACCTGCTTTGGCGTATTTGCTCACCCAATTACAGTGCACGTTGCAAACCCAAACCACCCCACCCACACTTTCCCGAGACTCTACCCTTGCCTGGGTGTACTTTGCGACAAAGCAGTCGGTTACCCTATATCAAGCGTTTAACACTTGGATGGAAGGGTGTAATTGGAGACGCGAGCTTTAACCCACCCGAAATGGGCCGTGTCATCAAGTACACTTCTGACTCGCTAAGCAAGAAGGGGTTAAAAACGAAGCTGGCAGGCGTGGATAGCTGGTACGGAGGTACATCGGAACTGCCTCAGCTGGACAATCACCAGCTACTAGCGCGGATAAACGTTCACTCCTACGTGAATAGGTACGACATTGGGGACGCAGCTGCGTCTTACGAGGAGAAGTTCGGCAGTATTCGCGACACAGCGAAAATGCTGGGAAAGGAAGTCTGGGTCAGCGAAGCAGGGCCGATAAGCAAAGGAGGGAGCTTCTGGGATCTTTCGCTCTATTTGGCGAGGAATGTTCTCGAAAGCGTTAATATCATGGAAGCTTCGGCATACGTCGTCTGGCAAGCGTACGATTTCGGCGCGCACTGGTCGTTCATTCGCTTCCCGTCGTACTATCGTTCGCCGTTCAAAGGCCGAATGATACAGCCCAAGGCGAACAGGCGCTTCTGGCTCTTCAAGCATTTCACGCTGCTTGCCAAGCCTGGGTCCAAGCCAATCAGGGTAGGCTCGCGGTGCCAGCATGGCATGAGTGCGTTCTACAACCCTCAAGACGCGCAAGTTACAGTGTTTATGGTAAATCAGGAGGCCGGGGACCGACGAGTGACGCTTAATCTGGAGGGGTTTAAGACTAACATGGGAGGGAGCACCAACGTGGTTGTTAGGAGGACGTCTGAGTCTGCAAATTTCAGCAAAAAGGTGTTCATGCAGTTCAAGGGGAAAGCTAGGCTCACGGTGTGGGGGCAGACCTTCGTTTCTGTCACATTCACCAATGTGGCATACTAGAATTTGACTGGTAGCTCAGAATTAGGTTGGGTAGCTCACATAGTCAGGGCCATTTTCAGGTGCAATCTCTTTAGTACAGAAAATATGTTCAGGTGGGAGCCCAGCGCATCTTTCAAAGTTTCTGTTGCGCACTGTACACATGTGCCAGAACAGAGCCTTAAAAAGATGCGCCACTCAAATCTGTACTCGCTGAGTGAAATTAATGCGCTCACACACGCTTCGTTTACCCACGCTACCAGGAACTGCTAAGACATACCCCAAAAAACAAACTAAAAGCTACAGTGACGCTGGACGCATTTTTGGAAGATCACCCTAAACACGGGAACCTCCTGGTGTTTAGGGTTGATGCCTCTATTGAAATACTAAGGAAGAAGTGGCCGATTAGGTTGAGGGAGGGGGTACAAGCAAAGTATCGAGATGGTTTCTATACCCCCTAAACATAGCCCCAATGTAGCCTAGAGAAATGTAAACAGAAACATGTATGTTTTGACACACCCCCATAGGCGAAATGGGGGATAGCCAGAGCAAGCAATGGTCACAAGACCAGCCAAGAGAAGCAAACAAAGCAAAGCTTAGGGTGAAGGCAGGACACCACTTAGTGGAACAGAGGAAGGACGGAGTATCATATCATGAGTGTCTGGGACACCCGGAGCACGAGAACAACGAACACGAGGAACACGAGCACAGACATAAGCTCTAGTATCAGGCTCTCAACGCTTAGGAGTGGAAGCACGAGTCTCAAGCTCTCGACGCTCAGACAGGGATTCTGTCACAGCAGTGTAAGGAGCAAGAGCAGGCAGTGGGGAGTGAGGCAGGAGCTGTGGGAATAGTAACGGAGGAGTAGTACCAGGGACTGGGAACTCGGAAGGAGCTGGCGGAAGGGCGAGAAGGTGGCTAAGCGCACCAGTAGGTCTAGTAGCTCCAGTACCAGCAGGACCTCCAGTACCGCCAGCAGTGGTAGCTCCAGCACCTCCAGCACCTGCAGCAACTCCAGCACCTCCAGCACCTCTTGCACCAACAGCTCCTGCACCTCCAGCACAAGCAGCTCCAGTACCTCAAGCACCAGTAGTACCTCCAGCACCTCCAGCACCACTAGGACCAGTAGGACTAGTAGCTCCAATACCTCCAGTACTAGTAGCACCTCTAGAACCTCCAACACCTCCAGCACCAGCAGCGCCAGCACCTACAGCACCAGCAACTCCAGTACCTCCAGCACCAGTAGCACCTCTAGTATCTCCAGCACCAGTAGCACCTCCAGCACCTCCAGCACTAGCAGGACCTCCAGGACCAGCAGCTCCAGTACCTCCAGCACCAGCAGCTCCAGTACCTCCAGGACTAGCACCTCCAGTACCTCCAGCACCAGCAGCATCGCTAGTACCTCCAGCACCTCCAAGACTAGTAGCTCCAGCACCAGCATGACTGGACCCTCCACCGCCACCAGGACTCGCAGCACCCCTAGAGTCAGCACCCCTAGTCTCAGCACCCCCAGAATTAGCACCCCTAGTTGCAGCACCCCCAGAACCCTCACCCTCTGCCTCAGCACGTCTAGGCTCAGCACCAGCAGTCTCAGCACCAACAGTCTCACCAGGCTGCGGAGGCGGCGAAGACAGCCTAGGGGGAAAACCAGGGGGGGTCTCCAAGAGTGGAGAGTGGCAAGTGGCCGCCGTGTCGTCAGCGGCGGGGTCACCCCCCTCAGCTGGGCCAGAGGAGTCAGAAGAGATCTCCAAAGGCTCAACCAAAGGGGGTGGGTCTACCTGAGACACACCTGAGGGAGCAGGACCCTGTGGGGGGAGGGGGTTGACCGGGGAGGGGGACTGGTACTAGGAAGAGAGGTGCGAGGGGGACAGGGTGGGACGCGTACGGGTGAAGCTTGTAATAATAGACAGACTCGCCAAAGGTGACATCCTGGGAGGAGAAGACTCGACGCGAGCTTGGGTGGTAGAACTGCCACGGTGGGGCGTCGGTGGGGAAGCCAAGGAAGACACAGCGGAGAGTGCGAGAGGAGAGCTTGCTCGCTTTGGAATCACGAACAAAGGAGAGCGTGCCCCAGACCCGAAACACCGACGCATCGCCAACCTTCCCCGTCCACCGGAGTGTGGGCGAGGTCTCTCTGGCTCAGAGACACAGGGCCAGAGGTTGAGCTGATGCGCTGCGTATCAGACCGCAAACGGCCACAGAAAATGGGGAGCAGCCGCCTGAACCGCTCGCACAACTGGCGACGAGTAGCACGGATCCAGGGGATCAAAACACCGCTGACGTCCGCCTTGCGCCGCAAGGGGAAGACAGTGGTGTAACGTATGTAGTCGTCAACAACCAGCAGGAAGTAGCGCTCCTGGTCCATTCCACCGACAAGGGCTGGGCCCCAAACGTCCATGTGGAGAGTCTGCAAAGGAGCAGTGGTCGGAGGAAACTCGAAGGAGCGAGGAGCGGCACGCTGCCGCCCCTCGACGCAGGGAAGGCACGGCGGGGCAGGCGAGCGCGGGAGGGAGGGAAGGGACCTAGGAAGGCGAGAGACAAGGAGACGGGAGTGCATACTGCGGAGACGCAGTAGGGAGGGGTGACCGAGGCGGTGGTGCCAGAGGAGAGTCTGGTGGGAGAGTTCCCGACACGAGAAAGACGCTGCAAGCTGACCAGACGCAGACACCTGACTCGACGCAGCCACCTGACCTGCCTCAGCCACCCGTGCAGATGCAGTGGTGAGTGTGTACAGACTAGACCCAGGCCGTCGAGTGAACGTAGCAAGGTGATGGCCAGTCCAGGAGCACGTATAGATCGCCACACGCTGCCCTCCAGGAATAAAGGTATCAGCCCAGACATCCTGAATGGCAGCGTTGCTCACCATGTTCGTGGAGAACGTGGGGAGGTGGAGACCTGACAGAGAACCGGAGGGGACTGTTGGACACGGGAGGACAGTGGAGGCTCGTGCAACTACTGGGCCCCAAGTGGGGTCAGCCAGTGAGACCGGTACCAGTGCAGCAAGTGGTGTGAGTGTGGTGCAGTCACGAAAGAAGCAACGTGCCGCGCCCGAGTCAAGTGTGAAAGTGTGCAAGGCCTCAGCTGAGGAAGGACCTATGGCGGGAGACGCATGAGCACCTAAAGCTGCAGCAGACTCACTAGCACCTAGTGCGGCAGCAGACTCACTAGCACCTAGTGCAGCAGCCTCGATAGAACCAGTGACACATTGCTGAGGAAACAACTCACTAAGCACCTGTGGGGAGAAGGTCTCCTGCTGACTCTGCTGCCGCCTCTGTGCAGTACGTAGAAAACCAAAGCCTCCA